AGCCATCGCAGACCACCCAGCAGGACCCTACGTCCCAAGCAACACACCCCTATCATGCCGCCTCGATCGAGGAGGATCAATCGACCCAGCAGGCTTCAAAGACAAAGACGGCAGTCGCTACGTCGTCTTCAAGGTCGACGGTAACAGCGTCGGCCACGGCGGCGACTGCAACAACGGCGTCGAGCCACTCGTTTCCACGCCGATTTTGCTCCAGAAGGTTGCCGCTGACGGTGTCACTCCTATCGGGGACGCGGTGCAGATCCTCGATCGCAATACTGCTGATGGGGATGGCCCGCTTGTCGAGGCACCGAATCTGATTCTCCATGGTGATACGTACTTTTTGTTTTATTCTACTCATTGCTTTACCGACCCGGCTTATGATGTGCGCTATGCTACCGCGAAGAGTATTACCGGGCCTTATACTAAGACCAATGTTCCTATGATCAATGCGCAGAATACCGGGCTTATTTCGCCTGGGGGTGGGAATGTTTGTGGTTGTGGGGATCGCATGTTGTTCCATGGGTTCTGTACTGAGGAGAGGACCAGTCGGTGTATGTATGTGGCTGATGTGATTATCGATGGGAAGACTGCATCGATTGCCTGAGGGTTTGGTTGTTGTTTTTCTTTTTGAATTGTTTTTCTGTTTGTGCGGCAACTTTGGCTTTACGTCGGACTTTTATGAAGTCTGGTCGCTTTGGATAGTATATACCCCGGATTTTGAGGGCTTGCATGTGATATTGGATAGCAATGAGATACTCTTTTGCAATTTTGAGAACATTAATACTTTGGGAATTGTCTAGACCATTGCATGGTACTATTCTCTGAATCTTTTAACAAAATACCTGTATCGCAGAGTGACATTTGAAAAAGCAAGTGAATGCACAGTAGGTACAGAAAGTTTGCTCAATCTTCGTGAAGTAATATTTGGTCTGCAGATACATGTACTCCAATTATAACTCCAATTATATTATTTAGAGATGATATCCCGTATCTCATATCGTTGTATCGTTCTAGGCATGCCTGCATGCACCTAAGCTTAATCCTTTTCCTCTCCCTCTTCCTCCGTCTCTTCCTCCGCTTCTCGCTCAGAGGCACGCTTCTTCTCCCGCGCCGTTTCCACCCACTCCGCTGCACCCTTAATGGCTAACTCGGGTGTCTCCTTATAATTAAGAAGATATCCCTGAATCTCCGCAGCAGTAAACTCGCCACTCGGAATAATAGCACCAAACTCAGACGCCAAGTCGGTGATGCGGGATCGGAGGGATACAAGGCGCTGCAGTTCTTCTTTCTTGGTCTTTTCCACTCCTCCATTACTCTCCTCGGAGTTTTGGATAATCTTGCCGTTCGCCTTGGTATTATCAACAATGGTAGTTGTGGGCAACTTGACTGAACCATTGGTGCCATTGCTGTGGATTGCTGGGGCGCCGCGACGCGCAATATCATTGTCCTTCGCCCCGTAGATCGAGGTGAAAAGCTCCTTAATATCTGCTTCGCTGGTGTATCCGAAACTGATCTTCATATCCACGCGACCAGGACGGAGGAGAGCCGGGTCCAGCTTTTCCACGTGGTTGGTAGTCATAATGAGGATACGGCCTTCACTAGCGGCAACTCCATCGATCACATTCAGAAGTCCTGAAAGTGTGATTCCACCTTTCTTCGTACTTTCTTTTGCGCCTGCACTATCCGCTGCGGCGGTGCTATCCTTGGGGGTAGCATCACTCGCGGGGTTATCCGAAGTAGGCGTAGATGCAGTTGCGGCGGTCCGAGTCTTTGTAATACCAGCTGAATCGATATCTTCAAGTAGGATAATGCATCGGCGCGGTAGTTCCGAGAAGAGTGACAACAGAGCCTCCTCGTCCAAGGCTGTAGAGTTCAAATCAAGCAAGTAGAGCTTTAAGCCGAGGATTCCGGCCGCTGCAAAGCATAAACTGGTCTTGCCAGTTCCCGGAGGACCGTGTAGAAGGTATCCACGCCGATACGGGATTCCACGGTTATTGTACCAGCGGCGCGTGCGAGGGTGCAGGTATTCCTTGATATCATCAAGGAAGTCTTGTTTTTGTTCTTGGTCAAGAATGACGGTAGAAAGAGGACGCGGTAAGCGTGCCATACACCGATACCAGTTGAAGGATTGGCCAGCAGCAATCCGGGAACCGCGGTAGATTACCGTGCGGTTCCTGTCGCGCTCGACATACGCCTGTTGTGCTTCGGCTAGCAGTGTTTTCAAAATCGCGGGATTCCGACCGAGACACGAGAGGAAGATTCGCTCGTTGTTCATTACATACCACATCCCCCCGTCCCGATGTTCACGCTCGAGCATGAGCGGACGGTTCTTGTACCAGAAATAATGGCTGCCTTCCGAGGGAGTAAATTGCATTTTCTTGTATTTGTCCCGGGCGGTAACCTTGGCCCAGTACGAATCGAAAGAGGCGTCTTTTCCATTGTCAAAGGTCTCTTCGTCGTCGTCCTCATCTTGCTCGAGGTCCTCCTCGTCTGTTTCATCTTGGTTCCAGTAACTGTTGGTTTTGAGACCGGCGACGAATCGATTTGTATTTTTCATATGCGGCTGGCGGGAGATCCAGAACATTAGATAATGGAATATCTCGTCGTCCAGGCGAATCTCGGCTCTTGACACGAACAACTCATTGAAGTGCTCCCAAATGACAAAGAAAACGTATCGAGCAGTTGCGCCAAAGACAGCAATGCTGACTAGGATTTGCAGGTAGGCGCTGATATCAAAATTAAGGTAGGACATCAATATGCGCGAGATGAAGCCATAGCCGGGGACTAGGACCTCCAACATGGCCGTGTCCGTCGTGGACAACGGCCCCGTTGTGGTGGGGATGGTTTGGTTGGCATCCATGATCGATAGACCACAAAATGTCACAAGGATTTGGATCTGATTTTGAGATAATAAGGTGAAGAGGGAAAGGGAGGACCCTGAAGATCAAAATCAAATCACACTCCACACTTTTATAGGTTCCGGGCAACTTAGCTGAAGAGCCTCATGTGTTGGCCGGTCCCGCTCGGACACAGAATGCACCAAGCTGAGCCTGAGTTGCGCCTGACCCACCTCGTGCGAACTTCGCCTCGCAGGATTCATCGGGGTTGATTGGATTGGATTCAGTTGGGCTGCTTAGCTGCAGACGCTGCCTGGACCTGACTCATCATTGCTGCAGGTCACTGGGGTGCCATTCCTCCCACGTCATAGGGACCAGGATTGGAACTAAAAGAGAGTCAACCTAAGAGTAAGCGCTAGATGCGCATCAAATTAGAAACATAACAAATAGGAACAGTAATGGAACAAACAGTAATGGGGAAAAAGATAAAAGAGCAAAAAAAGAAATCTCTCCCTCGGGGAATCGAACCCCGGTCTCCCGCGCTTATCGGTGTTAATGACAAGCGGAAATCATCACCACTAGACCAAGGAAGATATGATGGTTGAGTTGCTGCTCGACCACTTGGCTGGTTGATGGAAGTACGGGGACATTTAAGCTACATAACCCAAGGCACTCAACATCAACTATATTCCGGAACAACGCAACCCTAAGTTGAAGTCTATCTATAACACACAACTCTCTATAAATTCATACAAGTTACATTGATTTACATATATCTTGCTTTGTTTATTCATGTCAATACTCCCATCATATTGGGCAAGCAAATATGTGGTGACCGTTGGTGACCGCAGCAATATATATTTCTCATTCTCAAGTCATGTCCCATATTTCGATATCGCTTTCTTCTTCGTATACCTCTACCATCTACCTAGCCGTAAAAAGGAAGTGATATCGAGCATTAATCTAAAAGAAATACCCAAAATTTGAAGGGTTATACTAGCATGCCAAACAATGGCAATTTGTTTGCCTACGTTCGTGTTTTAGCAGGCACAAATTCATTAAGTATATCCATCAACCTCTCACGGAATATACTCTTACCTTCACTTATTGACCAATTAATTTCTCTTCACTCCACCTGTTACTTCCATCCATCAAGTCTTCCCAGCATGATCCAGCGACCGGTCTTCGCTCGACCAGACACCAATATACCCATCTCCACAAGAGCCCAGAGAAAACCAACCCTACACAACCACTAGGGAATGTGCCCTCCCGATATGCACCTTACCAAGAAGTACTCCATGCCTCTTGCTATGGGCAACCGTCTCGCCCAATGGTATTTGTACCACCTCGACAGACGTCCAAGGCTATAGTATTAGTTACCATACTGTGATACCATTGAATTTAACAGCAACTGTAACAGCCTTCCAGTTAGTTCGACGACAGAGAATTTCACCCACTATGAGGAATTTAGCGAGAACAGAGATAATGCATCTTCAATTTCCCTTCTTTTAGTTTTCATTTATAGTTTGTTTCTTTTGAAGTGCTTAGCATTGTTATTCTGTACCTTAATTCCCAGCTTGTGCCCAACAATCGCTCATTTGACGGCTCTGTGCATATCAGATATGGCCAAACCGGTTCACGGAATCCTCGACTGGCAGAGGTGGTAGTTGTTTGGGAAGAACCAGTCCCCAAGCTGGATCATCTCCGACATCAATTCGGATGAACTCCAAGTTGAAAATTATCAAATTGTACCACCGAGGTGTTAAGAGTTTTCTTCCTATAGGCATCACTGAGCTTTCTCCATCCTCTCATCTCATCAGACTACATTAATTAACCCGGTAATCGCACAGCAACGCCAGGGTTTGCTTTATCTATTAGAGTTGTAGGCTTTGGTGCTGGTTGTGCCGGTTGTGGAGCTACTAGTGTTGAATTTTGAGACGACATTTGAGGAGGACGTATATATTATGCCTTGTAGATTGCTGCATTGACTTGGTTTCTGGTAATATATAGCTATTCTGAGTTTACCCCTCTGAGACTAGGTCAATCCAAAGGATGGCAACAAAAGGACTTCTGAACATCGTAAGTGATGCCCAGGGATACAGATAAGCTTAAGGATAGTAACACCATCAAACGGTCTTTCAATATATAAATCTAACTGCAAACTTAAGAGATATTGCCCCATAGCTTGACTACTTTGTCAGTAGATCCAGATGCCAACATTTTGCCATCGGACGAGAATGCAACAGAGTTGACTCGATCTGAACGGCGTGTGAGCACCTTCCGTGCAACGCACGTGGTGGTATCCCAGAGTATGATCGAGCCATCTAAAGATGCCGATGCCACCAATTTACCATCTGGTGAGAATTTCACAGATGACACACGATTTGAATGGCCCTCAAGTGTTTCTTTTAGAGCGCCAGTAGTATGCCAGAGCTTAACTGTGTTATCATCAGATCCAGACGCGACCAATTTACCATCAGGTGAGAATGCCACGGAAGCCACCCATCTGGAATGACCCTCAAGCGTTCTGTATATAGTGCCTGGGATGGTATTCCAGAGTTTGATTGTGTTGTCATAGCATCCAGATGCCACCAATCTACCATCTGGTGAGAATGCCACAGAGCTGACGCCATCGGAATGGACCAAAAGTGTATTTTGTATCGCGCCGTTGATAGTACTCCAAATTTTAATCTCATCGGACCCAGATGCCACTAATTTACCATCAGGTGAAAATGCCACAGATGTCACCCGATTTGAATGGCTCCCAAGCGTTTTATGCATAGTACCATCAGTCTGCCATAGCGTAACTGTGTGATCATAAGATCCAGATGCCACACATTTACTATCGGGAGAGAACGCCACGGAAGTCACAAATCGGGAATGGCCCACAAGCGTTCTGTATAGAGTGTTTGTCGTAGTGTGCCAGAGGTCGATTGTGGTATCATCAGATCCAGATGCCATCAGTCGACCATCGGGTGAGAATGCCACGGAATTCACCCATGGGGTTTGGCTCTCAAGCCTAAGGGGAAGCGGGATTTGGACAGCTCTGGCACTACTTTGTTCCACTGGGTGAAACTTTACAGTTTCGTTGCTTGAAGTTTGGAGAGACAAGGCTCCCAATTCCTCTGTTTTCGGAATAAAAGTTTCGAATACCTCTGGGGACTTGGTAGTCGAGGCAAACTTTCCTGTCATTGAGTCAGGTGTTGATGCGGTAGGTGACTCTGGAGACTTGGTAGTGTTCCATGATCCCAATTGCTCCGTCACTAAGTCAAGCGATGATGTAGTATGTGCCTCTTTATACACCAGTGGAGGAGCCGATTGGCGATTATAGGGCAATATATGATCAATCCACCTGTGCTGTAAAGCATCTTTGGCTGACATTCTGCCTGCCGGGGTAGGGTGCATAAGAGACAAGACAAACTCAACTCCAGGTTGACTGACTTCGTTGGCCAAAAGTTGATTGGAAGGAAATATGTTAGGCGTTTGGACGTAGGTAAAGAGCAACCCTGGATGCTTGAATGTGGGTTGCTTGGTCAAAATTTGGAACATGATCTCTCCAGCCGCCCAAATGTCAACGGCATATGGAGTGCCTTGTGCAGTGAATCCAAAGAGTTCAGGGGCAATATATCCGAATGTACCCTTCATGGTCGTTGATTTTCCAAGGCCATACTCGATACGTTTGCTGATCCCAAAGTCTGCGATCTTTACCCACCAATCATTTGGTGGACAAGATCTCAAAAGGATATTCTACATAGGATTAGAGTTCTCGATCAATTGAGTGGTTGATATTCATTGCAAACCTTACATTCGGTTTCAAATCACGATGTGCATAGCCATTCTCGTGCATTAAATCCAGGCCCTCCAGAATCTGGGACATGATGCACTGCGCCTCAAATTCCGGCAGCGGTTGCTTCTGGCCATGGAGATAATCTTGCAGATCCCCAAGCTCAAGATATTCCATTGCAATAAATAACTTGGCTTCGGTCTGGTACCACCCCAACGACTTGACAAAACATCGCTCGTACTGCTGATCTGTTAGAAGTGTTCCTTGCATTGGATAGCTGGTAGACAAGCCTTTGCGTGCGAGAATCTCGCAATGGCCTCAAGCTCACGGCCATAGTCTACTTGCCGGCGCACTTCCATCTGCTTTATTGCACGGACGTAATGACCATGGCTGTTTCCCTTTGTGCATCTCTCCAGCCACACCTCTCCAAATCCACCATCGCCTATCTTCTTCTCGCGCTGCCAGTGTTCTGATTTTTTTATTGGCCGACGGGAAAGGGATTCCTGCTGGTAGTAGGTGTGCACTGTCTCGTATTTGCTACCAGCTGGGAAATGTGTCTCGAGCTTAGAATCGAGAACCCAGTCTGGAACTGTCGGCATCTGGAAACAAGGAAGGAGTGAGGAAAGAAGCAAAGATATATCTCGAGAGAATGATGTAGTTGAGGTTTTGTAGTTGGATATACGGGTAAAGTAGTAGAAGCACTAAATAAGTGAATTTGGAAATCCCCCGAGTCTCAGAGGAGGCTGAGAATGGAGATGAGGGGGTTCTTGCTGCGGTAATCGTGCCAAGCGCCTAACACCAACTGGGCACCTTGCATCAACGTTGTCAGTGGCTAAAATTAGCGCGTGAATTTGGAATTCAATACCAAGGGCTACGAGCAGGGCCTCTAGATCCATAGGAAGGCGAAAAAGTTGTAGATGATGAGGCTGGAGTTGACAGGATTGTATAGCATATCGCGGGTGTGATATGCTAACTGAGCCAACACCGCAGAGAGTAAAAAGCATTTAAACATTAAATACGTGAATATGGGTATCTATCGAAATGCAAGGGCAAATGGAGAAAATGGAGCAAAATTATCAACTCTCAGACTCTGGGTGCTTGCCCTGAACAGCATCAGCGACGCCGCCAGCCCAGTTCTTCAGGTCATCGAATTTGTGCCAAAGTGTGCCCCACCATGTCGAGCCCTTTTCGTCGTCACTTTGATGGTCTGTGGCGGGTGGTGCTTCAGCTGTTGGGGTTGGGTTCGGTGCTGGTTGTTCTGGTTTGGGCTGCACTGGCTTTGGCTGTGCGGGCGATGGTTGAGGAGGTGATAGCTCCGCGGGTGATGGCTCTGCGGGTGACGGCTGCGGGGGTCTAGATGGTGCTGAAGTTTGAGCCGGAGGATCCGGAGGTGTCTCCAAGACCGGTGTGTTCTCATCCGAGTGCAGGCCAATTGGCTTCAGCGGGAGTCGTAGTGTGCCATTGCTTGGAAGGGGATCAACACCCAAAGAGTCACAGACGATGTTATATACCTCGATGTTTTCTATACAAATCTGTTAGGTCAAATCTCAATCCGCGGTTGGGAGTAGGCACTTACGGAAAACTTCCACCCGGCTGTTTGGCTTATGCGGGAAGGCTGGGCCGCGCGCAATAAAGATCGCACGCATCAATGGATGCTCATGATCATATCCATGGATACCATTAGGATGGTATTGTTTCCCAGTCTTCAAGGCCTCTTTGACATCGAACTCTCCCCGATTGACGATAGCCCACCCCGTCTTAGGGATCACCCACAAGGGCGCAATGCGTTCATTGTTCGAGAAGTGATACCGTTCAGGCATTGTCTCACGTGTATAGAATTCAAACGCATGCCCGTAATCCGGAGCTACCTTCTCTAGCTGTTTCCGGAGTGTGTCCAGATCCTCGGGGTGCTTGGGGCGTAGACCTGCAGATGGCCACCCATCAATATGCTCAATCAAATTATAATCAATGAGATCGTCCAACTGGATTAACCTTTCTGTAGAGGTAGTGGCCATGCCATGGTCCGAGACAACCACGATGTTGACCACCTCGGTGAGATTGCGTCGCTCAAGACCAGTCATAATGCCGGCGATCATGTTATCCGCTTCGGAAATCGTCTTTCGAATCTCAGTGCTGTTAGGGCCAAATTTATGCCCATCCTGATCAACGTTAGGAACGTAGGCCACGATAAACTGTGGGCGCTCAGGTGTTATCTGCGATTTATCCTCGAGACCTGGGAGGTCCAAAAACTCAAGGACCCGATCCACCTTGTGAGACAAGACTTCCGTCCCGTTGTATTTGTCCAAAAAGGTTGGCTCCTTGTCACCAATGTGCGCCTCAGACCCCGGCCACATATGGATGGCGGTCTTCACATGCTGCTTTTCTGCTGTGACCCAGAGGGGTTCCGCCATCCACCACTTAGGTTGCATGCTCACAGTCGGATGGGTATAGTAGAATTCCTCCTTCATACTCGGGTCCCAAAATGTGTTACCTACAATCCCATGACTTTCGGGGTAGAGTCCGGTCATAAGCGTGAAGTGATTTGGGAATGTGACGCTCGGGAAGCTGGGGTTCATGTATTGCGGGGAAACGCCATTGGCGACGAGGGAGTTCAGCGCAGGGGTCAGGCCACGGTCAAGAAAGTCGGCTCTGAAGCCATCAAGCGAGATATAGATTGTGGTTGGCGCAAAGAGAGCTGTGCCGTTCGAGAGCAAGGGTGGAGGGTGTGCCCGTGAAGCCCGGAAACCGCCCGAGGCTTTATACGCCCCTAGGAGGAGGATGACGAAGAGAATGGCGACCAGAGCAATTATAAATAAGATCTTTCGCCACGAAGGCCGTGGAGGCTAAGTAGCGGACGTGTTAGTAGAGGGCGTAGAAACCAACCACGGTACGTCTCACCGGCTCGTATGTGTATTCGCCTTTACTGTCCAAATCCAATGATGATCCGCTCAAAAGGGATGCATTATCATCACCAATCCCCTCTTCCATCTCATACATCAGCTCCCCATCCTCGCTGACTCTCTCACGACGTGACCCCCTCCGCTGTCGCCGCTGCTTTTTCGTTTTCCCGATCTTCACACTGCTACCATTTGGACTGAAAATCCTCCGTAGACCCTGCCCAGTGCCTCGGCGTATCAAAAGTTTCTCCAGCTCCTCTTCATCTTCTAGCACTGCTCGGTCGTGCTCTGCGATTTCCAGGGTGCTGCGGTTCTGATCGAGGAGGGCGTCATCGTCGGAATCAGAGTCCTGCTCGGAGGGCGACCGCAACGAAGATGCATCGTTGTCGTAATTTGCAGGAGAAAGAAGGGAATGACTAGTGTCTGGGCGGCGCATTGCTAGCCTGATAGAGACATGAGAAAGGAGCTGACTTGGAGAAAGGGAGATCGCAGGAATGCCAAGACCCGGCAATCAGTTGCGATAAGCCAGATCTATGAGAATTGTTTGTTATTTCTTGTTTGGCTTCAGATATTAGTACGGGCTGTTGATTTGGTGTATTTTGTTCATTTTCAAAATTCAATATAATGAAGTTATTCCTAGGAGTATCATACTCACTAGGTCAAGTTACAGCTATAATCCTTTGTTGTTGGGTTTGTGTACAGCTTGCCTATTCCGGCTCAACACCTGCATAATCGCCTAAACTCGTTCTAATATTTGGGAATCTTACAGCCCTTGCGACGGTTCGATTTTGTCATGGTCAATCAGATGGTACGGCTTGGTTCCTGATCTGCACTAGCCTCATATTACAACACTTGCCTTCAAGGTTGACAACGTAATATTGCCCTATATGGAAGCCCTGGAGCTCACACTCATAATATGGTGATATGGGATAATATAGATATTCGAGATGAATCGATAGAATTACAGAGAAAGATCAAAGAGAAGCTCAACTTAGAGGCACAGTGCCTGAGCATTCCCATGGACTTTAGTTGAAAGTCCAGCGCCAGCATACGACGAGAAACCAACGAGGGCAGCAATTTTGTATGAAATGGAATGGCACCTTTATTTGTTACCTTTCTTCAATTGATTTTTAAACAACACAAGAAACGTGGGAATGGCAAGAAATTGGGTGCTGAGTATTGGAGACTTGAAACCTAATATACTAGACACACCGTCATCATCAGCACCGGCGGCATCGGCTAGTGAATACCAGCCGTCGGTTTTATCCCGTACTAGCAGGAACAGACGTATGTCGACCGGAAAGCAGAGAGCCGCCGGCAAGCCAAATACCACCGGCAAGGAAAATGCCATCTTCAAAGCCAACTCGACGAAGAACATCACAATACACACTCCAGGTCCCGTGGGCAAGAACAAACGTACCCTCGACAGCAAAGTTAGGGTTATAATGTCAGCTCTGACAGTGAGGTTCACTAGTAGGACAGGTATCTAGGAAGAGAGAAGAACTCGCTAATTCACTAAAAAGTATAGTGTTACACCTGCCCTTAGACCAGCCAGTTACCAACTAGGCCAAAAAGACCACTATATCTGAGCATTACGCTCAGGTAGTCCAGGCTCCGTTATATATAGTGCGTATCATGACAGGAGTCATCTTACCTACCGGTTGACTTCCGATCTTTGCTTATCGGCAAGCTGCACTTTTGAACAATACTATCGCATTGCCCTGGTTAGAGGTCAGGTGAAGGTTTAGGTACAACCTATTCTGAACTTCAATATATTCAATCCATCATGTTACAACCCAAATATGGGGAAAATTATGATAATATTAGGTAAATGGCTTGAGAGTAGGTTTGCAGTCCTGTGCGATGATGTCGTTAGTTTGGTTGCAAGTTATGCTGTTGTCTCTGGCATCTGCGAGAAACTATTCTTCATGTTACTTGAAAACCGGTATCAACTTTCTTGTTCATGCATTCATTCCTACAGACTGCATTGACCTCCATGGCAGCGTGTGAACAAAGCTTGTCAGGGTACCATCGGGTCTACAGGAACATACATTCCACAGCTAGTACGTGGCAGCCACATTCCTCAGGTTGCTCGCAAACGCGAGATCAGAGTTATGGATTTGACGTGAACGCCGCTGACGTTTCCTAACGAAAGAGAATTGTAACCGATAGGTGCTTGAGAATACTTGAGTGAAATTTCTGATGCTAGGTGAGCTTAGTTGATACAAGCTCATTGGATGCCGGATGCAGTTGCTAGAAGATCGACAAAGTGATCAGCCCTGCATAGGGATCGGCGTGAAGGGTTTTCGGTGCGCGAGTAGCTGTCAAAGCCTCCTTTAATGCTATAGCGAAAAAAAAAGCTAAGTAATGATTGTCAATCAATCTTTTTGTGACTGATTCTAGAACCAAAGGCTGCTCTACCAGATATCTAGGAAGATCCACTTGTCGTACAGCTCGGGGAAGCAGCGAGCCTCACGACCCAGCAGAAATTAAGTGGAGTGCTTCAAACTGTTGTCCGTTATTCTACCAACTACTCTTTTTGGGTACTTCGCTTGTCGAGAGAGCTATGGGGGCTCTCCACCCATTGTATGCCCCCATCTCTTCAGACAACGTGTCTTCACCCTATAGCCCTGAAAACAGACCATCCACAAAGAGAATCCACTTAATTTTCATTGTGACAGATCTGAAGTGGATCTCTGTGGAATTCCACGATGGTGGAGTGTTCGGCATAGATGTCCGCTTGCGAGAGCAGCACCTTCCTAATCGGGACATCAAACCACGTGACCACATCCAACCGAGCCATGTCCCCACCGTTCAGACGAACAGCAAATTTGGAAGATCATGACGAGATGGGCGTCGGGCTAAACCGCTCGCCCCAGGGTTTCAATGTGGAGTCGAGATCTGAGAAATGTGACATTCATTCCGGATGCGGAAATCACCAAATCTCGCTTCCACTTCACCCAAGGGTCCCATCGAGGGCAGAGAGGAACATCGAGGGCCAGAGGAACGTCGAGAGGCACATTGTTCCAAATTGAAAAATTTTTTTCTTTTCAATTGTTCATGGCATCACCAATTAACCTTAATTAATCTATATGCCGGATTTGGACACCTCGTCAGATCTATAAGAATGGCATCCCCTTCGCTTCAAACTCCTGCTAAATATCCATCTCCATCGCACCGGCATTATCACCCTAGGTAAGTCCTGAGTCCTGGCATCACAATGAAGAATATATATACTAACCCCAATCCCAGCTTCGTCGCTCGTTAAGACAGCAAGCCACACTTCATTTAATCCAATCGCTTTTGATTTTCAATAAAAATGCACTTCACAGCCCCCTCCGTGGCCCTGCTGGCTCTCGCAGCTGGTGTCCAAGCCGGTGGTGCCAAAGAGCAGCACGAACCCCCGTCCACAGCATTAAGAGCATTGGCAAGCACCAGGCTAGCGGCGGAACTGGCACCGGCGTCGCCCCTACTGGTGTCGTCCCTACCGGTGCACAGACTGGCACTCACCCAATTGCCACTGGTGGACACCACAACAACGGTACTGGTACACAGACTGGCAGCCACCCCATCGTGACTGGCACCCACAACAACGGTACCCAGACCGGTGGCAAGAACAGCACCATCATCGGCACTGGTACTGCTCCCTGCTTCAGCTGCCACGGCAGCGCGACCATCCCGGTCTATGTCCCTACCAAGACTGCCTCTGGTGGTGCTTCCCCCTCCGGTGGTGCTGGCGGTGTTGGCGGTGGCTCTGGCACCGGCTCTGAATCTGGCTCTGGCTCGGGTAGCAACGGCTCCGGCTCCGGCTCTGGTTCTGGATCCGAGTCTGGATCCGGCTCTGGCTCTAGCTCTGGAGGTTCCTCCTCCGGTGGTGGTGTTGTCGGTGGCTCCGGCTCTGGATCTGAGTCTGGCTCTGGCTCTGGCTCCGGTAGCACCGGCTCTGGATCTGGCTCTGGCTCTGGCTCTGGCTCTGGCAGCACCGGTGCTGGCTCTGGATCCGAGTCTGGCTCTGGCTCTGGCTCTAGCTCTGGTTCTGGTAGCACCGGCACTGGCTCTGGATCCGAGTCTGGCACTGGCTCTGGCTCCGGCACTGGCTCTAGCACTGGCTCTGGCTCTGGCTCCAGCACTGGCTCTGGCTCCAGCACTGGCTCTGGCTCCAGCACTGGCTCTGGCTCCGGCTCTGGCTCTGGCTCCAGCACTGGCTCTGGCTCCGGCTCTGGCTCCGGCACTGGCTCAGGCTCTGGCTCTGGATCTGGTAGCACCGGCTCCGGCTCCGGCTCTGGGTCTGGTACTTCATCTGGCTCTGGCTCTGGTTCTGGAACCGAAGGCTCTGCCTCCCCCAGCTCGACCGAATACACCCCCTCCAGCCCTGGCTCCAAGGTCACCGCACCCCAGGTCGGAGTTCTCAGCGCTGTTATTGGCAGCATTGTCTACGGTGCCGTTATGCTTCTCGCATAAACGTCTCGCAGTTACTTAATGTTCACAAGGCTGTCTCTTAATGTCGGTGTTTGTTAGATTGCTGGGTATCTTTTTGTTTCTTTCTGATATTTGATCTTGGAACTGGTTAAAACCAGGGACTTGATTCACTTGGAGGTGGGAGTATTGGGATATCTAGACTGGCGTTGGAGGATATGATGTTTGTTTTTTTGGTTTTTTTTTTTTCGTCTTTGTGGAGTTCACTGGTGGGTTGTTTGGAAATATATCAGTACTTAATTTAATTCTAATTCAAAGAAATGCTTTTTTGGATAATATTGTCTCGGTATATTTGCTTGTATGAACGTATCAAGACGAAAGACTAAGAAATAGATCTAACAATCCCCTCATAACCAGGATATAATTTTCCCTGAAACCAAAGCCCAATCCACGTACTTTCAAATACTCTATAGGAATAAAACTCAGACTCATTGATTAAAGCCTAATGGCCCCAGTGGCAAAAATGCAACCCTAGGTATATAGATAATAATAGAAGCCCGGAACACAGTCTAGCTGTCCCTGCAGGGTCGAGTGGCGAGTGTCTGCTAACCGTTTACCAGCCCGTTGACTTTGCTTTAAGGTTTGTCTGTATATGTGGATGGAGATTGGCTCGGTTAAGGTTTCAGATTGACTTCTGTGTCCTTGATGCAACCTGAGCTTCGCTGTGTGGGGCTGTGAGAGTCATCCATGGTCATTACTTTCCTGATATTACGAGATATCAACAGATTCTGCGTGATCGTAGAGTTGAAGGTTTGATAGTTGACCAGATGATGAATGACTTGCAATTCGAATTGTAGTTTTGATTTTGAATTTTTGGGGAACTAGATATATCGCTGCTAAAAATGAAAATGTATACATGCACCCTTTTACGACCTTCATCATTCACCATTCGCAAGAAAATGAAGCAAAAGAACCACCCCCAAACGCCAGAAAAATCACGCAATGCAACGCACATAAGAAAAAAACCAATAATTGCAACCATTGTAAACGAAAGCACCATCCATGAAACCACTCCATTCTCCATGTGTCTATACGCTCGATATCCAATTCACCCATTGACACCCACACCCGCCATCACCACCATCAACACCCCCAGCATCCTCTATCGTATCATTCTTCGTCTCACCAAGACCCTTGAAAAGCCCAGCAGCAGGATTAACAAGCTCACCGCCAACAGCACGATCCTCAAGCTGCAGCTGCACACCTGTGATATTGTAATGCCCGTCATCTTCGAGCGGGTAGCAGTAGACCATTTTCTTTTTCTCGGCGCCGCCGTGGCGGTCAAGTGTTATTGTTACCGGGTATGGGAATGAGCCTGGACGGATGAAGTCTGTTGCGGAGGATGAGGATGTAGGTTCATTTGTTGATGTCGGTGTTGTAGCCGAGGAGGTTGTGGTACTTGTTGCTGTGCTGTTTGATTTTGGGAAGAGGTGACGGTTGATTTTGTCCGGTTGCGTCCAGATTTGGATTAGGAGACGGGTTTGGGACCATGTGCATCGGTACTTTGCGTTGGATTTTGAGGTTCCGCCATTTGTGTCGGCAGGGGAGGATTTGGTTTGGGAAGTTAGGAAGATGGATTTGTCGAAGTAGCTGTAGAAACCGTAGTGTTCGGTTGAGAGACCGCGGTTGTAGAGGCGGATTGGTTGGGATGAGGGGAGGGGGTAGAGCATTGCTGCCGATGGGGTTCCGTCTGCGTTTTCCTCTGGTGCTGGAATTATGGATGAGATGTTGGGGTATGCGGTGCTGTTGGAGGTATCTGACCGGCGGTAGATGCTTGCCGAGGAGAGTGAAACGGGTGAGAGGAGAGACATATAGAACGGTGTTTCTTCACCGGCATAGGGTATAGTGTTGTTATCTGTGTATTGACCGAGGAAGCTCTGTTCTGCATCTGTTGGTGCTGCGGGCGATGGGTTGAAAAGTTCGTCACTCCTGATACGTAATTTCGAACTGGCAGTAGTGCTGTTATCGTATGTACCATTTCGGAAACTAATGGAAACACGGAAACTGGGCTGGTTCGCATTGTACGGTTCATTGGAATCCTGCTCATCCTTGGGCAAAGCACAACTCCACATTGAAGAGGGGGTGATACAAGTTGATTTTTCAAGCTGCGGCTGCGTCCCAACAACTGTTGCAATCCCAGTCGGCATGGGCGGATAACCTGTTAGGTTCAGCCACAGCGATTGAACAGGAGTATCGTGTCCTTTCTTTGTCAATGTGATTGCTAGAACGGTAGCCAGCGTCACGATGATTAAGAAGAAAATGCAGATCACGAAATACCATCTGCGTCGAGTACGACCCTCGCGCCCTGGTCGTCCGCTCTTCTTGCTGAATGGACCCCGACCACGCCAGAGGTTGCAGACTCTTCGGCCAGTGGCGTCTTCCTTTTCGAGTCTGCGGCGTCGGGCCTCATGAGGGCCTATCGCGCCGCTTGGGTTGACGCTTGAAACTCCAGCTGCAGGGTCATTATCGTAACGGGGCTGTGTATCATAGCGAGATGGAAGAGGAGCTTCTCTGGGATATTGCGTGTATGCAGGAGCCGGTGCCTGCATATCTGACATTGGGATAGAGCCAGGTCCACCAGCAGCGCGCTGGAAACCGGGAGAGATAGGCTCAGAGGGTTGTAAATGTCCCTGAGGTGGCCCAACTTCGGACCCTCCAGGCGGTCCCCGTTCTGTTTGAGGCTCCCCAGACCCAGGCTGCCGATGCTGAGCCACAGAAACTTGAGATTGCTCTTCCTGATGCTGAACCTCCGCTCCGGTAGGCTGGTTTTGTGGCAGAGGCGGCACAGGGGGCGCATTTGAGTGAGGGTGTGCGGTTAGACCAAACGGCCACCCAGAACCAGATTGTCGTCCCTGGACAACAAGCGGCCCTCGAGGCTGTGTTGCATGACCATAAGTTTCCTGTCGTGTCTGGGGAGGAGCCTGTCCATATGCGACTTGGGGTTGTTCAGGTGATTTTTGTGTAACAGGAAGTTCTTGTGGCTTCCCCTGTTGTTGTCCTTGTGGTTGTTCTTGTTCCGTATAAGCCCACTCAAACCCGGAGAAGTGTCTTTGGGTAGCTGGCTGTTGAACCTTTGGCTGCCCTTGTGGCTGTCCCCATGGCCATTCCGTCCTTGGTGTTGCTACTTGAGGGGCTGATACTGGCTGGACTATCGGCGGTTCCGAGATTTCTCGTGACGTTTCCTCTGATTGTGGCTGTTGCATTATCGGCTCCATTGGCTGTGCAACCTGAGGAGCATGAGGAGCGAAGACTGGCACATATTGCACCGTCGGCTGCAGAGGTTGTACCTGAGGCTGCGGTGGAGGCGTAGTGTAATGGAAATTAGTAACCGGGGGCGAGATATTGGTGATTATCTGCGGAGCTGGAGCCGGGGCGGGAGCTGGCTCAGGCATTAGAATAGGAGCTGGCGCAGGAGCGGGAGTTGGCTCGGGCATAGGAATTGGTGCTGGTGCTGGCGCTGGCGCAGGTGCAGGCGGTTCCAAAACCTGTCTATCAACTGGCTCCACAGGCGCAGCAACAGGAAGAGGGATAGGAGGTGAAGCAGCACTCTGGGATTGAGCTTCAGAAACACCGCCCCTGGTCCCATGCGCGGCTACCGAACCCTTCTCCTTCTCATCCTCGTCAACAACAGACGAATCCCACGTATGAGAACTGAACTCCGAGGAGGGTGACAACAGCTGCACCTCCTTCGCACGAACTGCATATCCAGCCTGAATCGACGACTTCGTCGTCTCAGGACGAGGCGAATCGATATCAATAAGTAGTCCGGCATTCTTAGTCGACGTCGTTGACGGATCTGGATCCTGAATTTCATTTTCACGCGTGCCTTCAAGACCAGATACCCCAGGCTCCCCAACGTCAAAAAGCGCAAGTCCCCGACCACCCTCCGCAGAAGGGTCTATCGCTCCCGCTGGCACAGTAACAGGATTGACGGGAGTAATCGAGCAAACATGATTAATGCATGCGAAATATGGCGTCTTGCTGAATAGCTCGTGTGCACAGGCTTGGTAGTACTCGGCTGCTTCACCCTGGATTGTCTGGTTATTACTGAACATGAAGGACATGGTGTTTTGTCTACTTGAGACGTTTGATACGTATGCTGGTGGTGGGGATTGGTGGCGTTCAGGACCTTGGGATTGGTCTGTCTCGAATGAACGGGATATCTCGAATGCTTTTTCGCCCATTGGTGCTGCAGTCTCTGGTGTATCGGGTGAGAAGCAGGATATTTCTTTCTCGCGCGGTATCCATTCTTTTCGCTCAGTTGGGCGGGTTGTGGTTGTTGTTGTTGATGGGGTTGAGGGTGATTCTTGTGGGAAGGATGGGCTGAGGGGGGATTTTATGGATCGGTTGAGAAGTGGGGAGAGGAGGTATGTCCACCAGCCTTGTGAATCGGGTCTGCCTGCATCTGCCTGGGTGTTGACACTGAGATGACACTGTTGCTGGCTTTTGGGGGCTGGGCGGAGTGTTTCTGGTGACCGGGGTGGACTGTCGTCTTCCCAGATCGAGGCTGTTGAGAGGGCGCGCGCGTTCCTTTCTACACCTGTGTTCTGATATTCGGTCCCTGAGGCGGGAGTTTTAGTAGCAGCTGAGTGTTGTGCGGGAATGGCTGGCACGGGTGGGACATCGGTTTCATATTGCCAGAGACGGGGTGTTGGCTGCGAGTAGACACTTGATGTTGCTCTTGGACGGAGCATCTCTGTGCTCGAGTTTGAGTGTGCGTTCCATGGTGCATCGCCCCGTGCTGGTGTAACGACAATCGATGGTGTCAGCGGGGTGCCTGCGCTGTCGAGCTCTTGTGATCTTTCTATTGACTCGCTGCGAGGCACAGTGAGTCCGATCATAACATGCCGGTCTGAGGGCGAGAGCGCATGCTCATGTCTATCGTGGAACGGATTTTCATCTCTCGCAGTTAGGAACGAGGCTCCAGTTCCCTTTTGGCTGTTTGTCTCGGGTAACCGCTGGAAGCCCCGTGAAACCCTCCTCTTGAATGTATCCTTTGGTTTCTGAGCAGTGCGTTCCTTCTCTCGCACTTTTGAAAGGAGCTTCAGGTCATTCAGATCGACGAACGGCGCAGCCGCGTTTGGTTCTGCTGGAATCGACTGTTTCCTCGGCGCCGGCGCCAAGGTGAAATCCGTAACGAGGTTCAGACCGACTGGTTTCCCGACGCTTTTACGTTTCTTGGTGATGCGGATATTCAGTCTCGGGGATTCGCGGGTGGAAATGGGCGAGCGGTTCCCATCCTTGGTCCTTGCCTCAAGCTGTTGTCGTGCTGCCTTGGATAGAAATGTAAAGGGTCGGTCTCGTTCTTCCTGGTCTTCCGAGGAGCATGAGGGACTTGAGATCTCTTCACTGATAGGCGATGATAAAGGGAAATTTGGTACTGGGACCTGCAGTTCTTGGGGCTTTCGTTTGAGCATGATGGTTTAGTAGACTTGACTGTGTCGAGATGTTAGTCTGCAGCGATGACAAGATTTGATAGTCATGCATACCATGTGTCAGGAAATCATGAAAGAAGGAAAAAAAGCAAGGAAACGAAACAAAGAGTGGTCTATTAATATTATACAGCAAGTAAAACAATGGGAGAAGGCAACAATAAACAATGGCCCTCTGAATAGGAGTTAATTGAGTCAAATGCAAAACAAAAGAAAGACAAAAGACAAAAGACAAAAAATAAGAAAAGCCCCGAGACTTTAAGTCCAGCTCGATTTCTGCATTGTCTGCATTTCTGCCGTTTCTGCATCATCACCGTGCAGATGCCAGAGAGTCCAGGCCGGGCACTGTACAGGACAGAGCTCAAGCTATAAACAACCTGGCCAATAATCATCGCCGCTGGTGAAGTTCTGCAGCGATCCCAGACAACCCGCTGCAACTAGCTTGGTGCTTCATCTTGAAGGTCCGTCATTGGACGACTGGCAGAGAGATCACCAGGGGAAGCAGAAATGAAGGTGATGGATTGGATGCGAAGGTCAGACTGAGGCCGGTCCCTACGCGCCGGACCGGGGGCGGGCGCTTCGAGAGGCCAATTAGTGGAAAGACAGAAATAGATTCTTACGATGATACTTATGATACTTATTATAATAACATATCTAAAGCAGGACTTGTCTTTCTGAAACAAGATGTTTTCGTGTTACTGTTTATATTATTTGATCTATTTGATTTCATTTCTATGGGGAGATGTTGATACTCCACTCTATAGTTACATACTAGAGAGTGATGATTTTGAATTGAAACATGAATATCGTAATTCAGCTATTCTAGCTATTCAATATTCCATATTCCATCTTCCCCTCCTATCGTATTCCATGTAGAGTGGCCCAGAAAAAAAAAAAGCAAAGCAATTGCGGGTATGAAACAACAAGACAGGAGAAAACAGAGACCACTCCAATAAGACCAATCAAAAAAAAAAAAAAAAAAAAAACAATTCAGTATAAATCAATCCCCAAGTCGGAAAAAACAAAAATTCAACTGGGAATTGCATCTATAAGAGGGATATATGATATCAAGAGAACAAAGTCCAAAACAAAGTCGTCGATGATAGGTTTTGCGTGACTAGTCATATCTCATACACAGCTTGAGCTTTCTCGCACCTTACACCCGCTACCGCCGCTCATATTCAATGCCCTGCATAGCCGCACTAGAGCCATTCATAAGGGGCGGTAACGTCCGCGGCTGCTCCTGAGTCACGCCATTGCCGAACCCACCAAACACAGGGCCCTGGCCATTGACCTGGTTGGAGGTCATTTGGTGGTGCTCAAAGATGGATGGAGGCCGGGAGGCGTTAGCTTGCTGGTTGAGTTGGGCGCGCATCTCATCCATCTCCGACTGCATGACCGCCCGGTCGCGCTGGGATTGTGCCACGGTTTTCTCCAACATCGCGATATAATCAATTGCCCGGGTGAGCGTTTCCCATTTGCTGGATTTGTTGGTTTGACCGGGTGGTAGACGAAGTCGGAGGGCTTCGAAGCAGTCTTTCATTTCGCTGCGCCGTTTGCGCTCGGCGAGTTTGTGCGTGACGCGTAGTTCGGGCGTACGGCTGTACGGCGTGCTGCCGGCCGGTCCGTCTTCTTCGCCGATCAACTCTCGCACGGCCTTGTGTTGGAGGGAGTGGTGGTGGTGTACATTTTGGGGTAGGTCTGGGAGATTGTTAGTATTGGGCGTGCAGTGGGTGTCGTATTGTGGCGGGAGCATACCATGTTGTCCTCGAGGCATCCGTTCCGAGTACATGCTATTCATCGACTCTGCCATGCTTCCTTTTCGGGAGAATGGGGGATTGGACTCTCCCTTCGAGGAGACGGAGCTGGAGCGGGCCATGTCCGGGTCTGGGAAGGCATATGCCATACCCGCCGTGGGTGCTTCAGCATTGTAAATCTCCGACCGAGGATTCGAGGAAATTGCCGGAGCAGTGCGACCGGCTGCGAAACTACGCTGTTGATCGGTGGCGCGAGGGCCCAATGGAGAGAGTGGCTGGCTACCTCCTGAGTACCGAGGTCCCCGGTATGAATTCATGTCGGTCGGAATCCCTCGTTCCCTTTGGAGACTGGAGACGATCGACGATTGGGACGCATTGGTGCTGTGATAGGGCGAGGCAGGGTTGATGGCGAGAGAACTGATTCCTTGGTTCATGCGACTGTCAACACTGCTGCGCCGGGATTCCGTCGTCTCGGCCACACTGGTGCGTTGGGAGGGAGCTTCGTAGTTCTGGTTGATGGAGGGAAGTGTGGAGGTTGGCTGGCTGAAGTTCGGAGAGGGTTGTTGAGTGCCAGCGGAGGACGGTGTGGTGGATTGATCGTGGGGGTAAGGGGAGCGATCGACAGCCGGATGTCCGCGATTCGGGGAAGGTTGCGACGCGGATATGAAGCTGAGCGAGGGATAATTGTTGCCAGTGCCATTGGTCGCCGTGGAGTAGGTGGACGATCCTACATGGTCAGCACCGCGCCGCTCCCATTCCGTACTAGGTGAGGGTCTCCTACTTGTGCTTTGCGGCATTGACCAATTCCCCGAGTCACGCTCAATCGTGTTCAGTGAGCCGTTCCCGGGGGATTTCTCCGCCGAGGCTCCGGTACCAGGCATATTCGCGGTGAGGGTCGAGATCGAAGGGAGGGTTTGCGTTGAGCCTGCAGTAGACTGAGGCCCTGAGACTGCCTCCCATGGGCGATGTGCGACAGAGGGATCCATGGTGGGAGAGTCTGAATCAGGCGGGGGAAACAGTGACGAAGAACTCAAATATTAACCCGCTCTCTTTTTTTCCCCCAACACTATCGCATATTCCAAATCCAGAGGGTAGAGAGATCAATTCGAGAAACGATTCACCGTGAAACCGTTTCGTTGTAAAGTTTCGAGGTTCGCGGAACTTGGGAGGTCAAAAGGAAGGCTAGATCGACGGTTAGACGTAAAGAGGTGAAAGCAACACCGATCAAGCTTACCGAAAGGAACGTGGCACGAAAGTGTAAAGGTATTATATAGAGTATTATGAAAGAAATAGAGAGAGTTAAGAGGGAATGTAGAGAGTGTAGAGAGTGTAGTGTAGAGAGTGTAGCCAAGAGTGAGAGAGTCGAGAGATTAAAGAATAGAAAATTGGAGAGTCGAAACCCTCGAGTCTCTTGAAACTCCTCTTTTTCTTTTTCTTTTTTTTTTTTTTTTTTTTTAACCTTCTTTTTTGGCATCCCCTTTATTAGGATTAAAATTAAAAAAAAGGAATAAAATATATAATATATAATATATATAAAAGAATAAAAGAATAAAAGAAAAGAAAAAATAAAAGGGAAATTCCCAAGAATGTACTGGTATTACCGCCAAGGCCCTACTGCAACTGTGTGTGCCACGAGGCTGACCCTGGGGAGTAAGGACTATACAGATACCTTTTTCGGTCTCCCATTACTCTATTCACATTAACCCTATTACCCATTATTAACTGCTTGTTTTCTCTCTTAATCCTTATTCTCTATTTTAGTTCCATATCTGTAAACTATATATGCAGACTTATCCATATACCCTACTATAATAGTGACATTCCTGAAGGAAGATCCCTAGAAAAAGCAAGGAGAACACGTTTCGTTGCATTCGAGTCTTCACGTCATCTGTTTTGTGTGGATTTCACTAAATTTTTATATATACTAGATTACTAGATTACTAGAATCCTATTGTTACAATACACATTCACGTGGCTCTGTCCCTTACAGGCTCTGCCTACTTATTGGAGTCTCCTGCTCTTTCCATCCAGTTAAGCTGCATTCGCGACCGGGGCTAACTGCACAATTCCGTTTGGGAGGTTAAGTACTGTAAGTACGAGTACGGACAGTATGAACATATAAACATATGTATAATAAATAATAATAAAAAGAACCATGTTGACGTTGAACACATGGCATGAGGATGCAGGGTTGATCGGCAGTCTCGGGGGCCAAATAGTCACAAATACATTCTCTTCTTTTTTGTTTGTTCGGGAGATTGGGCAAAGTACCAAGTACCGAGTACAGAAGTTCATCCCTGTCAGTTTAATCCTTGTCCCCCATGCGAATAAACTTGTCTTTTCTTCAGTCCCACACATGGCATCTGTTAGGGTCTCCTTTACTCACCGAAGGTGTGTTTGTTGACCATATATGTATCATATATATATACATATATACTTGGTTATATATATTTCGTTATCCTTTAAGATTATTATCTTTATATTATATGTTTTCCCAAGGTTAATTCTTAATTATAGTATATTTGGGTATATATTACCCTCTAGCTAAAACATGATCCACTTTCTCCCCTACCTATTTTCTGTTTGTTACACCTCGGACACAGACAGAACAGTGTGTCACGGATCACCCACGCTTCCATGAGCTTGAGCTTCATACCGTAGACCTGCACCCACCCGTTCCTGCCGCCCAAATCATCACCTGTTGACCTGTCAGAATCAGAGCCCTGGGTAGGACGGAGTACTATGTCGCGCGGCTATTTTCACCTATTCACGGGGCTATTGAGGGTAATATCCCGGTTCCGAACAGTCCAGTGTGACCTGGGAGTCTTGGCGAATATGACCACGCTTATTTTGTTTTGGTTTTTGGGATCTGGATCTGCCTTACTCCGTATGTATTGATTCACCTACGGAGTACATAATACAGACATCAGGTACTATTCCATAGTATTCCATAGTACGATATAATTTCATTGTCTGTTTCTGGAAATATAGTCATTGAGACAATGGGGACATTTACCCAAGGGGGGTGATTCACGCCACTGCAATCGCGGAACCGCGATGCCTGAACTAGGTGGCTTTTGGGTTGATGTGTCGATTTGATCTTTCCGTTTGATCGGGTGTTCGTCCAGAAATAGATCTAGACTGTAACGAGGAAATATAAAATACATACATAAAATACACTAAAATACAATAAAATACACTAAACCCCAATTTTTAAAAACGAAAATGAAATACAAAAATGAAAATGCATCGGCCAAACCGACGGTCTAGCCGACACCGCCACACTGTGGCTGCAATAATACGTCGTTCCTTATCCACCTGGGCACTAATCTACACTGCACCCAACCTCGGAAGGCTATAGCAATTTAGGCAGAAATTCAATATAACCAATATGCATGTCAAGTACCACTGTCTATCATCTTCCCCTTCCAGCATGCCACATGGCACCATCGTCGCCTTGCAGAATGTCTCGAAGATCGCCACCCGATCTACGGCACATTCCTCGAACTTCTGATACGGTAGCACTTCTCCATACTTGACGAAAGGACACTGCTTATCTGAGACTCCAAGCTCGATCTCTGCCAAACAGTTGCTGACCCCAGGTAAAAATAAACGAAAGGGCCCAGAAAAAAAAAAAACGGTCCACAACGGGAATTCTGAGTACGACTCTATCTCTACAACGTTGTACACCCTCGCCAACCTGCCTAATCTCGATCAAGGGGTGGGCATCATTAATTGTCAACCTTAGAGTTCGTTATGTCAATAGTGCGTGGCGAATGCGAATCCCTCCTTTTCTCATGGCTCATGGCTCGCCCATGGCAATCACCCATGCTCTCCCATCCCATCTGTTCGGTCCCATCATGGCGATACCGTGGCCCTTGCCCATTCCTGCATCCACGCCTCTTTTGAGGGTCGTGCTCGTGGACCGTGCCTTGCTGTGCTTTCCCAATAGTCTGTCTTGACACACGGGTCGTACCGTTCAGGGATGTAGGTACTTTCTTTTTCCTTTCTCTTTTCTTTTTCCAATTGCCTCTTCCAATTCCAATTCTAGCCTCATGTGCCCTCGCATGGAAGTAGCCCCTTCGCGCAAATAATGCCCTAGAATATGACTTTGTTTAAATAGTGTCCTCATAGTCTTCAGACCGAGTCTCCAGCATGCAATCTGACCCCGTGCCTCTATGCGTTCTGCACTACTCACTACCTGGTTATACACATGTATACACCCTACGGAGTACATTGCACATACTTGCCTATTTGCATATATATGTACGGTGCACTAGACGGAGTACCTCCCAACTCAAACTCCCCTGCCGACGATCCTCGCACCGGCTCCCGTTCCCCGAAGCTGGGGAGCGCACAGTCAAAGCTTAGAGGTTACATGCGAAAAAAAAAGATTGGGAAATATCATACCGGGATTTTTCAACTAGAATGTGAGCACGGATTCAATAATCAATTATAATCGAAGATATCCACTGACACCAGAAACCTCCCATTTTGTCCATCCGTAGCATCCGCCGGCGTGTCGCCCCCCAACCACCGCCGTAACACAACTATTTCGTACCCACCTAGGCATCAAGTGGTTCCTTAGCCACCCCACTGAAACAATATTGGCGCTCGCCATTGAGATGATTTTGTTTCAGCTCCCCCGGTGACTAAAATAACACCAAAATGGCTTCCAATATTTCAAAATTGGTTCCCGTCCAATATGGCCCAACCTCGTCCGATCGCATAAAATATCCAATCTACCCTCCCCCTCCTCCCTCCATACTCCTTACACCTGATATCACGATAGTTAACTTAAACTTCCATATAACATGTACAATCTCAACCCTGACTCCCACAACTCCTCACAACCGTCTGCCTCCCCAAAGTCTTATTCCGAAGGGCGACGTTCCTCGCTTCGGCTTCGATATCATCCACACTGCGAGTGAGCATAATATAACCTTCGTCATCCAGCGCAAAGAGAGCTTCCTTGAGCCACACCCGGCAAGTGATTCTCTCGCGGAATCGCACTGAATCGACGATTTGGATTTGACGAAGACGTTCGAGAAAAGGCGCATGTAGTGTAGGGTTTAACACTCCGTTTAACACTCCTATCTCGAGGGCTCCGAGCAGTAATTTATCATAGGTGACGGCCTGGTCGGGTAGATTCTAGAAGCGCCAGATGTTTGAGTTGATGTCGTTTAGTAGATGGTAGATCGAGCCTGATGTTGTATTCTGGTGTAGATAGAGGCGCCAGTGGAATGTGTAGCTCTTATCGCCGCGACTTGATAGGAGGATGTACAGGCCATTTATTTCAAAGGTGAGAGGTAATGCATCTATGTTGGATGGACCGGTGTACTCTACTGACGACATATTGGGTGGGTGGTTATAGTAGTCGTCTGTAGTCGTCGTGTGTTAGGATGGTAAAAGTGATGGTTTGGATGTATTGGTAGTGCGATGGAAGGAAAACACAACATGGCCTAAATGGGTTTGCTTGGCCGAACCGCTTTCTCGTTCGTTGTTATGACGCTTATTCTTCATATAGCGCTTAATCCAAGTAGTTCATTGGTGTGGTCTAATACTGGGTGTTTCGCGTTTAGGTTGAGCTCCCAGGGCGCCAAATAGGACGACTAGATGTGTACCACTCACAGCGTAGAATATACACTAGGCCAATAATATAATACATAATAAGAGGAATTATAGGAACTAAAATACGACCCTGTTGCCTGTTGCTGTTGGTACCTGGGCCCGTGATCCCAATATAGTACCTCAGGCTCCCAGGTGTCGATGGACCCATGGCCCCTCTTAGGACCACTTTTCTCCAACCTCGGCCCATCCCGTCGAACAGAAGTTCATTGGACATATCATCCTCAAAAAATGAGAGGAGAGAATAGAGACAAAATTCAAGATCGACGCGACGATCAGGCTTGTATCCACCCGGTCGCAACTAACCACCCCATTTGGCGAACCCCTCTGGATGAGGTCACCAATCTGGAATATGGTAATCATTCTACTATTATAGGAAAGGATCCACGTCCCCAACGGCTGTTCAGCACAAGTACCACAAGTCCTGCAAGCCCTGCGAGTTCAAAGTCGGTCGAAGGCAAAATATTTCCACCTAACCGCCATCCGAGGATGAGGCTACAGCTGCCTCAGCTAACCACCCCAATCTCAGATCTGACACCCTAGTCAAGAACCGCAACGATCCACGGTACTTTATGTTATATCAGAAGCCTTCAGCCATCCACCCACCCATATCTGTATGATCCTACCATTAGTACTTCGCACCTTCACCCCTGATAACCAGGTGTGATTGGCAGATCATTCCACGATCTCCCTCCCCTTGAAATCATCGTGGCACACCCCTTGCCTGCCAAAGCTCCACCGGGATCCATCCTGCTCTCGTTCTCGGTTTAGGTGCTGTCGCGTGTCGAATGTCAAAGGGCCTTGTATTCTGTAGGAAGGGGGTGAACTTAATACCTCCCCCGGTGGAGTACAGTTGCCATACCGTCCCAAACATGTCTTGTCTTGCATCATGAGAATTCCACGGGGAATCGTCGCCGCTTCCCAGGTTACCTCCTTACTGGATATGCGGATATGTGGATATGTTTTGCGCCATGTGTAGCTCTCCTTTTTTTCTCGGTCGAGGTACGGAACACATGCATGCATCGTACATGTGCACTACGACATAATGCAACATCATGTTGCAGAGACCTAAGAGCCTCCACTTGTGTACATATTTTGTGGCTTTACTTTTGGATTTGCATTTATATATTTTTTGGGTCAAATCCCCCCACCCATTGCCAAAATTAGCCGTAACATAATATTATGTTTGTTTTGTTTTTTCCTGTATCGAAATCATAGGAAATAGTCGTTAATAGTCCTTAATTAATACTCAATTATTTCTTCCTTGCTGTGTCTCAGATCATTTCACCTGAGGTCCATTTATTCCGCCATGTGCTTGTTTCAGTTGGCGCCGGGTCTCGGGATCGTCCCGCGTGTCTTTGTTATGGGCTTCAATTGCCGCTTGGAGCGACGGCAGTGTTTATTTGTAGAATTTATTGAGATTTCACCTGGTTGCTAGGTGTTGGAGATTAGAATTTTCAATGTGCATCATCGTATATTGTAGCCTGGTTGTATATTGAGTATTGTACTCGATGAATTGGTTGGAAATGCGAATATATATTTGTGGAAATATTGGTCGACCATGTCGAATAATATACTGCGTAGTAGTTACAATAAATAGCACGTAGAAATCTGGGATGAATCTTTTACCAATGAATAATATTTTGTAGTATAGAAATGAAATTAGATGCAGCTGCTATAAGCCCGTTCTTGTTACCTTCGACTTTAGGAGAAGACTTACTTTGCAGGTGAAAGAGTTTACCAATCCCTTATTCTTCTACCATTTCCCTTACTTTCTGCCTACTCGTTCATCTCCCCGGGGGCTGAGGATGTCGTGAGATGTGAATATAGAGTGTATAGAATTTATACGACAATGGCTCGTTAGTCTCATTTAATCGCCCAACTTGAATATCAACATTGGATCGCAATGTCTCGAGAGAGCGTCAACGTTATAACACGACCTGACCGACAGAGTATTCCCACACAAACTCCCATCCCTATCTCGTATGTAGCGAATAAAGGGCGAAGGGCCGGGCGATACTCCGAGGGAAGCCACAGGAGCCTTTTCCCTCGATATGTTATCCAGGCGATGTCGTCACTCAGGCCATATCCAATTTGCTGTTCCACGGCGGGGGTAGATTGAGAGGGCTGGTCGAAATGAGCATATCATTGATCAATTCGAATGTGCCAGCGACAGTATGCAGGCGATTCGGAGTGCTTTTATCAAATTCGAGAAATGTGGGCACGTCTACCTCAGAAAACATGTCATCGGAAGATTGCACGACAGGCAACTGAAGATCGATCGAGGAGATGTATTTTCCAGTGCCTGACTCCTGAACCGTGATGCCCAGATTCCAGACTTGAAAATCTTCATCCTTACGCCTGTGTGTCATTGATGCAAGCCAACGTCCATCCAAAGACCAGGAAATAGATAGCACCTCCCCGTCACTCTCACCTAGGTCTGCTATACATTGTCTGGTCTCCGGGTCCCAGATTCTGATTGTCTGGTCGTCTGATCCCGACGCCAGTCTTCCATCCGGTGACCAGCGCAAGTGAAAAACTGGTCGACTATGTCCCTCGAGAGTTGATATGCGTTCTCTAGTGACTGGATCCCAGACCCACACTTCTCCACTAAATGACCCGGATGCGAGCCGCTGGCTATCATGGGACCAGCCAATTGACGTAACATGAAGGCTATCGGGGAGCATTGATGCGTAGCTGGTTATCGGGTCCCAGATTCTTACTCCATCAAAGTGTTCCGACGATGCAAGCCAGGCTCCATTTGGCGACCAGGAGAAGGTTCCCCCGGAGGTTCCCTCCATGAGCCCATCAAACTTTTGAAACGTTGACCTGGACTTTTTGATGCTTGGATCCCAGATTCTAATTGCTTTTCCAGCTAATGCGGTATGTCTTCCATCGGGAGACCAGGCAAGTGAGGATCCACCTGAGCGATGTAACTCATAAAATGACAAACAATCTCCAGTGGCTGTATCCCAGATTCGGACTGTGTTATCATCCAAACTTCCTGACCTTGTCGCAACTCGATTTCCATCCGGAGACCAAGCAAGTGATATAACATCGTCACCATGTTTCTCAACCCCTGATACACAATCTCCAGTCGCTAGGTCCCAGATTTTGATTGTTTTGCCAGCTGATGCCAGTTGGCTTCCATCCGGAGACCAGACAGTGGGACGAACAGGACCGCTATGTCCACTTAGGACTGACAGACAAGCCCCATTGCTTGGGTCCCAGACTCTTACAGTTTCATCGTTTGACGCTGAAGCGAGTCGACTCGAGTCTGGCGACCAGGAAATGGATCGCACCGCACTGCTGTGATCGTGGAGATCGAAAATACATTGCCAACTGACTGTATCCCATATTCGAATAGTATTACCTGACACTGAGGCGAGTCGTCTACTGGGTGGCAACCATGCCACCGAGGAAACGTCATTTCTATGCCCCTCAAGGATAGCTAAGCATTTTCCGGTGTTTGGGTCCCAAATTCTGACTGTTGCATCAAATGATCCTGAAGCAAGTTGCATGAAATCTGGTGACCAAGCAATTGTATGTATCTGGTTGTCATGTCCGCGGAGAGTTGATATGCATTGGCCGGTGACTGGGTTCCAAATTCGGATAGTCTTATCGTCTGATGCTGAGGCGACTCGCTCATCATGTTGTATCCATGCAATAGAGCGCAGTTCATCTTCGTGTCCTCTAAGAACTGATATGCATTGTCCTGTGGTTGAGTCCCAGATTCTCGCGGTTTTATCTTTTGATGCTGATGCGAGGCGCCGGCCATCTTGGGACCAACCAATACATTGGACGTCCGAATCATGACCTTCAAGTGTTTGAATGCATGCGCTCCAGTCATCTTCGACTGATGGAGCGTTGATAATCCAGTCTACTATGTCCTTTTGGTAGCAAAGTCTGGTCATGCTCTGGGTTGGGCTGAATATCAGAGACGAACTGTATACCTGTAACGGGCCGCTCTCAATTCCGACCTTGTGGTATCGGATAAATCGAGAAGCGTCATGGACTTGTTGAAAGAAAGTTGATGATTTCTGGTTTTCCTATTATATTGTGGTGCATTTAGTGAGATGAGATACTCAATTCCAACTCGAGGTGACCCCGAACCTTAAATAAACCCTCAAGCTTAAGCATCGCCTCTATGCCTCTTGGAACGTTTCTCATCAGACAAAGCGCTTCAATCCAGTGGAGGTATTTCTGCTGTAGAAAGGTGTCCACGGATTGGAGATGGTTGGGCTCAATATCTGTGGTCTCACTGGAATATCCATCTTGAAGATGATGTGCCCAATACAGACAAGAGTAGTGTGCTGCTGCTAATGGGTCTGGACTAGGCTTTGTAACCTCGTCGATTTGCAGCCCTGGGAATGCGATGTCGTAGATATTACGACGAAGTGACTTAGACATAATATATATAGAGCGGGAAAATATTTTGTGGTGCTCGGCGGGTATACCTCCTGGGAAGACTTCATCTAGGGCTTTAGTAGTCAGGAAATCCTTTGCAGATTGATGAACAAAGAAGACAGTGTTCTCGCGTAATGTCAGAAATGAGCCACACAGTTTTATAATGTCCGAGAGAAAGTCATCTGGTGGGAAGTCGTCGTCATCTGTCGAGATGCCGTCAGGCATATCGACCAAGGCCACTAGTTCATTCAATGTGATAGGTCGGTAGACAGTTGAAGCCACACCAAGTATTCTGTTACAAAGCTCCGCATCCTCGGAGTCCCGGATCTGTTGAAGCATTCGCCTATAGAGAGAATCAAGTCCGGGCGGAAAGGAAGTCAGTAGCTTAGAAGTGTTCCAAGGCCTGGCCTTGGCGAGCTCTTCATACACCAATGCTACCCAAAGAAAGGTGTCTTGGGAGTTCAACATAAGATGACTAGCGACAATGTCTCGCACGGCAGGTTTATACTTCTTTTTCTCTGCCAATTGCTGAACTTTAAACTGGATGTAGATAGCAACGGCCTCGGAAATAGACGTTGCATTTAACTCCAGTGAAAGTCTTGTTTTTTGAGTTGCGACCTCAAAATACTCTTCGATGATCGGCCAGTTTCGACTAGAGACAATCCACTTCACGCGAGAGTTACCAGAAGATGATGCTTTGGCTATGAGATCAAGTAGGAGAGAAAGGTCCCCGGTACATTCATCCAGTGCATCGATGATGAAATAAGTGTCTTTCAGAGTCGAATCTTCCAGAATGTCCGACAAGATGCCTGACAAAGCTTGCCACGCATTTGCATCCTCGAACAGCTGCTTTCCCGTTTGATCGTACCGTCTTCGTATATGCTGGATAACAGAAGGCTGCTCGGAAGCAAGCATAAAGATCAAGCCGCGCAGAACGGCAATGGCGTTATTGATGCGCTCATCAGTTGCCTGACAGAAGAAAAACGACACATTCGTCGTGGCGTTGTCAATTGAGTTTCTTAACTCATCGATAATGCCGCAGAGGAGCATAGTCTTTCCTTTTCCAGGATCACCCTGAATCCAGAGAAGGCGGACCTCCTCGTCCAGGGTCCACTTTTGGAAATCATTGTTCTGTAGTACCCAGCGATACGAATCTTTGAGGAGTCCTCCCTTGGTTTTCTCAATGCGAGTCTTATCATCGCGTGGGTTGGTTGTTTGTAAATCCCGTAGACAATTCTGATCCGCTGATGTTTCTGATTGCCCTATACGCGGCAGGAAGTGGAACGATAATTAGCTTGATCCAGAATGCATTGGACCTTTCATTCTTAACCGACCTTGGGGTAGGTATATGTTATTGGTGATATTGCCACTATTGTAGCCTATTTGGGCTCCATTGTTTGGACCATTAAAATACGCCGCTGAAGCCATCATGGATGCCCAGCTTACGGGCAAGAGTGGTTGTGATAATAAACATCCATGTGGCTGGGCCAGCGCCAACAGTTCTACCCCTCATCAGGTGACTGCGTTCAACCCTAAAAGGGGTTAGACACTGTTCCAGCAGTGATTTTTGCTGTGCCAATACACGATCTGCAATTGCCACATAGTTTCACATGCATAGGTCATGCTCCATATAGCCATAGCTCGTTCTCTCTTCTTTTGTTTGTTTACGTAGGAGAAGGTAGAACCTCACGGCCACAGGGTCTTGGTCGCTCATTTAGTCAGCACCTGCTTAAGGTTGTCCAACCTGGTTATAAATTTCAACTATCTTTTGCACTGATTCTAGTTTATCGATTAAATATTAATATACTAAAAATATCGCTATGATAAGTAAATGATATCATAGAACTACTATAGATCTACCTAGATGATAAAACTAAAAACTTTTATATCCTATTAATTACTGATAAAACGAATATTTATTAAGGAGTTGGGAAAATGATAGTTGGTATATTTAACAACAATTCCTGTGTACCATGATTGGTCTCTAGAATAATGCAGACATGATCGATTTGTGATCTTTTGTTGATAGTGTAACGTGTTACCACCCCTTCATTGGCCCCGTGGTGCTTGGGAAACGCTCCATCACTCCGAGCCATAATACTCACAAAAATGAGCTAAGATGAATGCTTCCATCGAGCAGTGGAAAGGATCCGCTAATATTCGATCATACTTGAAAGTGGCCATTGGCTGTTGTGACTGAAATCTTGTAGGGTACCACAGTTACATGATCCCAGACGCAGGTAGTCCCAGTATCCGGTCACATTCAATATTCTTCCCTCTTCTACTAGTTGTATTACGCTGCATACCACCGAACACGGAAGCCTGAATAAGAAAATGAACCAATGTCATGGCTACAAGATCAGTGGAGTAGGTCATATCCCCCGAAGTCAGCCAGCCATGAAAAGAGTTACATTGAAGAGTCTGTTTCTGTGTCATAAAAGCTGATTACCGTGAATACCACGAGTGCTGCAAAGGCACCAGCTGGTGAATCTTCCTGGAGTTATATAGATCTTCTTTCTGTCAGCCACATACTCTTTATCAACACCGCTGGGCCCATGTAACAGCCTATATACCATAGGATCAATGCACCAGCCTCTTCAATCCAGAATAGCTCTATACTGAAGACCGATAGAGACTTACCGTGCCTTAGATATTATGTAACATTCGACAGTAGTCTACTCATCATGTCACATTATTCTACACTTGACTCGGCCTAGGCGTGGGTAAATAGACTTTACCATTCTTCTTTTACAACTGCACTATACATTTTTTGCTGAAGTAAACGTCATATATCTCTACATCTTCGAGACATTTGCGTTACTTCATGACGAGTGAAATGCTCAGCATGTCTATCCAAGGAGGCAAGTCACAATATAAATATTTCGGGACAGTCCTGTCTCATAGTCGGAGCAGCACTCTTTGAAACTCTGAATACGAAGTATCATTAGTCTGCCCTGACTTTCAAAACTTGCCACAATGGACCACACGAAAGCCCCAACTTACAACTCCAAAGAGGGACTTGTTCTCGATTTGAAGAATTTCATCTGTCGCTGCTCAACTCGAGTGATGAAGTTCAATGCCGCGATTGAATCTGCCATCGATGACGGACCAGATGATATGAAGGCTGAGGGGATTACAACCCTAGACTCTTATCTCCAATATTGCGAGAGACTTTTGCGATGGGTGCCCAATGTGGATACGACGGGTGATGAACTGCTGCGCAAGATTTTGGTCTTCTACTGGGTCTTCGACCAGCCGACCATCCTCGAGTACCAAACTCGGATCTCGCCTGAAACCTCCAACGACGACCTATCCTGGCTTTCGTATTGGCTCGTCTCATTTGCACGACAACAGGGACTGTTCTTGAACACCCCAGAGTCCGCAGGGCTTCTCTACACCTTCTATCTGAATCCGAAATACAACCAGGAAGCGGCATTGTGGGAAAAGCCGAAATCCGGTTGGCAGTCTTTCAATCACTGGTTTTCGCGTAGGTGGAAAAACATCAATAGCGCGCGGCCCATTGCGGGTCCCTCAAACGACCATGTGATCATGATGCCCGCTGAATCAACTTATGCTGGAAATTGGCCAATCATAAAGGGGAAAATTCAACTCCAGATCAAGGGTGTGGACTATTACCACTGGCCCGTCAAAGACCTGTTGCAGACCACGGAAGATACTTGGAATGAGGGCCACTTCACCCACTCTTTCCTGGGACCCACTGATTATCATCGTCAACATGCACCAGTGAGTGGGGAGGTTATTGAGGCAAGAGTCATCCAGAACCAGGTGTATTTGCAGGTGGCGAAGAACACTGCTACCGGCAAGATCTATGCGGATCGGGCTATGGTTCGTGCCCCAGCTGAAGTCAAGCGTCGACGAGGTGTGCGTGTTCAATACGAGTCCGAAGGTGAAAATAGTGAAGGTGGTGAAGATTCCGGCCCTGGAGCCTCCAAGAAGGACGATCTCGATGCCCCGGACGATGCTGGCTACCAGTGGTGTCAGACTCGGGGATTGATTGTGATCCAAACCGAGAAGTACGGCAAAGTAGCCATTCTGCCTATCGGAATGGCTCAAGTGTCATCGGTTATGTTGACCGTGAAAAAAGGTGACCACGTCAAGAAAGGGGACAACATTTCATACTTCCAGTTTGGCGGATCTGATTGTGTGATGGTTTTCGAAAGAAAAGTTCATTTCAAAGCAAAACCAAAAGACAAGGTGAAGGTCCGAAAGCAAATTGCTACTTTTGAAGACTTGCCGGTTGCTGATGGCCCTCCTCCGAGACGCTGAGAAAGTCTTTCTGAAGCAGGGACCATCATTTGAATCTTCGCTGTCGAATATTGCTATACTGCTCTGATTTGTGTTTCTGGTGATTGTTTCTTGTAGTGTATCAAAAAAGTTTCCTAACTAATGTTAGTTGCAATGAAATTGGTTCTCCCTATTTATGCTTGCCTGGAAACATCAAATACCAACGGCAAAGTTTCGACGGGAGTGAGACATGTTTATTAGAATACTGTGCATGAATGGGCTCAAACAGACCTGGAATGAGGAGCAAAGACCTCACGAAATTCGAATCCGCGGATGTGGTGAACATTAAAGTCGAGTGAACAAAGAATTCAGTAAGGTTCCCTCAAAAAGAACAGGAATGCAAACAGAATAAGGGAGAAGGGGGTAAGGGAGACTGGAGGCAGTTGACTCTGCACGACAAAAACGGTATAGACTCGCGGCGCGGACCGCATTCCCGCTAGCCGCAGTTGCATGGCATCCAAGGTGTTAGTTAAGGTACGGTAAGATCAATGAATATGTGTACCTGCTATGTAGGTAACTCTAACATAACTGTAATATACACGTTTTCTCTCGTCTGCTACATTGTAGCTTGTAGAACGAAACGTCCTCGTACATTCCTTTTTAAAACCACTTCTTTCTAATCAAATTTGGACAAGTGTCTTAATCGCTAAAAATACCCCCAGAACCGGGCCGCAGCATGGCCCCGGCACGGAACGTGAGCTCCTTACATCCTATGGCATGCAAAGTGCACAGTCCATACGGCATATTCCCCTCGATCTGCCACTAATACATTGACTTCAGGTCATTAGACCTTCAATCCTAAGCGGCTGCAAACGGGGGTTTGTGTCAATTTCGAATTGGGATTCAAGCTCCGGCCTAGTGTAGAAATCTCGGCAAGCATGGTTCAAAAGATGGGCAATTCTTATGCTAGCTAGGAGTAGTGCAGACAAGGATACCCGCAGGATTTGCTTTGCTAAGGATGTATGATCTCTTTGCTAGACCTGATCGAATAAAAATATGCGGTTGAATTAACGGCTGAGGCTATTTTGCAATCGCATGCTCCCTCACGAGAATAACTAGTCCAGACCTCTAATGTATAACGTCTAATGTATAACGGCCCGTGAGTAACTCAGGATACTCAGGGATATGCTCAGTGTTACTCAGTGACTAAAAGGCGGCAAGGGGTGAGCATTAAAACGGAAAGGGAAATGTGTCGAGTGCAAGGCATTATCAGGTACATGTGCCTTCCACCAACTTCTAATATTTGCTGCTTGCACGTATATCTATAAAAGTATATAGTGGTTAACCCCATTCACAAAGCTGAAAATTATGACACCTTGCTCACGCTGTATCCCAATTCCTTAATCTACTGTTGACTCTACCTCCCGCCTTTGTGCAAGCCTCTCTGACCGGCGAGTAGCAACTCTTGGTACTCGAGGCTCGGGTCCACGCCTGCAAACCGTCTTTCCCCCACCAGGCTTACGCCTGAAAGCAAGGCGTGGACCGTACTCGGCAATCGATTCAATCTCCTCTAATACACGGTGCGGTGTTGAACTTAAGCAATTATGGCATAATTTCTCTTGGTGCTCCCTTTCCAAATGCACCATCTCAGGCTCTTTGCCTGCATTCTTGGGTGGTAATAAATCAAAAGTCATAGTGTTGAATTTGGCGTCTCTTTCTGACATTCTCCCTGAAAGCTGAATGGGCATTGTTTTGCTTAGTCCGCATTTAAGTGTCAACTTTTGGAGTCTTCCAGATCCGTCTGACATCACCGTGGATACGGAGCTTGCGGTAGAGTCTCGATATCTGGTGGCAAAGAAATTGGAACCAATCTTTGCTGCCGTCTTATATGTTAATTTGGGTTTGAAGGGATGATGGCGTTCACCCCACATGTTGATGGGGGCATAGGCGTGCACCAGGCTGCCAACTCGTGAATGGAGCGCTATTGCCTTGAGACGTGAAAAGCCACAGGCCAAAGTGTCTAGAACATCTTGGGGCTGAGAGTAGTCAGCCGATCGATCATTCTTTTAAGAATATCAGGAGATACACATACCCAATCGTCGTTCTTGGTGTCGCGCTCAATATCCAGTTCCAGGTTTTCAAGTTGGGGACATAGTGTGTCCAAAGAAATCAAGTCCGCGTTTTCAAATACAGCACGAGAGTCTTGACAATTCCAGGTATCGCCAATATGAACACAAAGGTTGACCAAACGAGAATGCCGAGTTATGGCATGAACTGGAACGAAGCAGTTCAATATTTCCAGATCCACCAGTGTGTCAAAAGCGACCAAGAAATTTTCGAGGCTGCTGCACAGCTCTTCATTTTGAATGTCGTTTCCTGTAACTCTCAAGGACCTTAAATTGTTTAAACGTCCTGTCATTACTTCAAGATTCTCAGGCGCAAACAGCCCCTGGCCGATCTCCAGGGACGAAAGACTTGACCAATTAAAATGATCTTGCCAACCATGCCACATTTGGCTGCCGATATAGTATTGATGGAGGGCCAGATGTTTGAGAAAGGGAAAAGGTTTATGAATGCTGGATCCCTTAAGGTCGTCGTTCCTTCGACCAATTAGTTCATTCGGGTGTGTTGCTGCCCAAGAACAAGACTTCAAGTTGGGACAAGAAGTGATGTAATTTAGGAAGTTGTCGGTCTGTAGTGGAGAGGATTGCTCGTTGATGTCAGATTTGGTATCCCACAAGACTCTGATCAGGGTCACCAATGGCAGGGAGCGAAGACAGGATTTTTCTCCGTCCCCTGCGAGTAGGTGCAGTTCCGGCTTTTGAGGATGCTCGTCAATGCTTGTCATATAGCTATCGCTGAGATCACAAGGCACCCCTAGCCTGCTACGAGTGTGAGTCTCTCTAGGTATAGGAAATCCATCTAAATATCGATATACAGACTCATACCTTACTTGACGCAGGTTCGGGAGACACTGTATCAACTGGGATAAAGGCTGTTTGTCTGTGTCCGTTGTCCGTAGGCGCCCCGTAACGTAGGGCGGAGTGTTGGATGGAGTGTACTTCAGATAGGGTGAGATAGTAATTTCTCGAACAAAACACCGCGGTGAGTCATGGGAGGTATCTAGCAGCCTATATAAAAGATCACCGGCATTCCCTACCAGAGTATCTTCTGACATCTCGAAGCTCAGAGAACGATACAAAAAAGGAGTTGCCAGATCATTCATAGCTTTCGAGGCGAGACAGAGACTGGCCAAATCCTTTTTGGTCTCGTGGCGCACATATGATTTGTTAAGCTCGTAGGCCATGAGACTTGAGTATTCGGGCCGGCATAAGATTTCGCACGTCAGATACCATACGTACCACGTTGAGTCTGTGAGCATGCACTGGGCTTTCGTGATACGGTTTCTTTCTGAGGGGAGAGCTTCAGAAAATGCAACCTGGCAATGCTTTTGTCTTTGGACTGATGCTTTAGCTTCTGGTAAGCGACCAGTCACCGGTTCTCGAGGGGAGTTCATATTGTGATTAGAATATGTGTGTAAAAAATGCAGTTAGGATAGAGTAGTTGTAAAAGAAAGGATTCGAAAGGGGGGCTGGTTTAGGTTTATCAAAATGGCGCTAAAAGAGAGAAGTGTCGGGTCTAATGTCACGTAGGTACTAGGTAGGGACCCCAGCTCAGAGTGGCTGATTAGTGGGGTTTCGGATGCAAGCAATATACCATCAAATTGTATATGTGCTAGATTCAATATTTACAGTATTTTTTTCAGAGTTTACGCAACACAGAGATACCTATAATTTTTAGGTTTTGTGTTTGGTGAGGCGCACCAACACTGCCCAGGTAGTGGGCAGTGCTGCAGTAGTGGCTAGGACAGCAAATCCGTGCATCTCACACGAAACTGCGTATGTATTTAGCGCCAACATTATGACCAGTCGCTTCGACCTGTTTACCTCTTCCGCGTCACCTGCGGTTAAGCCTTCGAATTTTCCTCCAGGTGTTAACCTCTCATTTTGAGAGATTGTCATCTGAATTAGTGATGTTTCCGATGCACTGCTGATGAAATGGACACCTGCGCGCCATTTGAAGGCAATTCCGATCTATACGGTCTTTGAATTCGCCTTGGAGTTTATCTTCAATGGATTTCAGCTTGGATCAGCCTACTCCTAGACCCAAACTCGGCCCAATCCATCTACGACACCAACTCGGTTTTTGTCTTCGCGATAATGGTGGCAAGTCTCATCGCAGCACAGCAAGGGACTGCCGCTATCGAGATGTACATTATGTTGCAGTTCATGCTCGGCTCCTTTATTACTACGCTTAGCACGTTGGGCGTGCGTCTGTGGCTCATGAGCCCCGATCGACTCGCGAAGCGGGGAACATTGACAGCCACGGCGTTCAAGCCATTCTGGGGTCATACAAAGGCTACTCTAAGCCACTTATTTATTAATCCATTGACACGCATATCGAAGGAGTGGTGGCTTAATATATTGGCTGGATATAACATGGACAACGCTCTCGGATTGTTCATGCCCCTTTGCTCAATACTTGGATTTTTGAGGCAATGTTCACAGCAATTCTTTTATCTCTTCAGGACAGAACTCGGCATATTATCGACATTGAAGCTCCCTGGACTCTCCTGGTCCGGAGTATTTTGGAGAATGAGCACAGCCGCTGTGGTCACCGGATACAACCTGGCATTTTGGTTTGACGATTCTGGCGGTGGTGCACAACAACCACCTAGACAAGGATGCGGGCCTCCCTACATCTTCCTCCTCTCCAAGCAGCAATTAACTGGTTCCGTTATTGCTCTATGCCGCACCGCGGCTGTTATCATTGCTGTCGTCGTCTTCCCTCTAGCTATCCTGCTACTGTATCTAATGCTCACATTTTGCTGGTACACATCCCTTTTTCTGTACCGCGATTTGATTTATCTCTTGAACCAGACCAGGCCACATACTCTTCTTTCGGCTCTTAGCAGAATAAATCCACTTCTAGAGCAGGGAGCTCTCTTATGGCAGTTTGCGGCGGGGCCATCCATGGTACCAGGGCTATTCAACGTCACATTTGTAGTGCTCACGGATGTCCTCGGATTTTTAGCTATGCCAAAAGCGAACGCAATCCGATTTTCTGATGTAATCAAGGTGTGTGTGTCGCTAGGGACTGGAAAGGTGACAAGGAATGAGATGGAAAACACACTACCTACGCATGGTGCGGGGATGATGCCAGGCTGGAAAGAAGCTAGGTGCGTGAAACCTTTATAGTGCATCTATTCAGTAAAACAAAAGTTCTAACTGTTGTGAAATAGATTCATTCATCGAGCTTTCTGTTCCCTATGGAACGTTTATGTTGTCCTAAGCATTGCATGGTTCATCGCTAGCATTGAGTGCACAATCCACTGGAACTACATCCAGGGCGTTAACGATATTCAGACAACCGGGCAGCTTATTCCCTTTGTCATTGGCTGTGTAAGTGCGTCACATGTGATCAAGAGGCTTATGCTCTTTGCATGGGCGAAGGTTAGTGAATAATTCGTTGGGGAAAAACCGGAACAACTCAAGCCACTGCTTATGTTGCTCATACATACCCTATTTGCACGCTTCTCTTGCTCCAACAGCTAACAAGTAGGTAGAAATATCGCGACTGGGCGGATACGCGGCTTGAATTGGGAGATGGTATAGATAGACCTGTCATCTTTAAAATTGTGAAGATGAATAAAGGTGACGATTCCGAGGAAGAGAGCACAAAGGACAAACCCATTGGGAATGACCAATTCGAAAGGCCCATTGCGACAATGCATATGCGAAGACAGAGTGTCTGATATACATGCCCATTTCAGCCTACCCGGGCACAATCCTTTAGAATCAAAGGTGGTGTGTGTTCGGAGGCAAGTAATATATCATCAAGTCAATTCAAGTCGTATATGCGCCATATATAATATCTACAATCTTTTTTGAAATCTATGCACCGCAGTCATGCTGCCATAATGCTTAACATTTACTCATCATCCCCATCCTCACCCTCGCCCTCCTCATCCTCATCTTCATCTTCATCACCCTCCTCAAACTCAACCCCAATCTCACCAGTGATATCCCACCGATCACCATTTGCCGCAGCACTAACATACTTGACGAACTTGAGAGTGCCGCTATCCCGCAGCACAATGCTGAGCCGGTTCCATCCCGCTTGCGTGCTGAAGAGAATACCATCATCCTCGTCGGCACCCGCAGACCGGTAGACAGCCGGATCGGCCTTGGTCTTCTTCCGACCCAGGACCTGGTCAGCGTTCTCAGCATCCTCCTCCTCGTCATCATCTTCATCATCATCATCGCCAGCCATGTAGATCTCGTACCCGCCTAGAGCAGGACCTTCCACAGCGTCGTCGTTAGTCTTCTCCTCCGGCTTGGATTCCTTGGCAGATGAGCCATTGGCTTCTTCGTTCTCATCCTCATCCTCATCTTCCTCCTCTTCCTGCTTCTCCCACCCAGTGCTCGGGGTAAGACAGAGGGTGAACTCGAGTCGAGGCTCCTCACCTTCGTACGCACTAGCAAGAGTATAGTCTGCACCGCGACGGAACCGTCTCGCAAGCAAATTGTGGCTCGTGAGGTGGTCCACGCCAGTAACAAGCCCAAGCCACTTCCGGAAAGGCTGCGACGGGAACAACACGTTCAGCAACTCTTGAATCGGGTTCTCGGTATCCTTCTCGCCGGAAGCATGCTGGTACAAGTATCGATGCTTGTGGGGAGGACGAGCAACTGTCCACCCGCGCTGTGCCTGGATCTCATCCGCAGAAGCCGGAAGAGCCTGTCTCTCCTGCTCCTCGATGTACGCGCTAATGCGCGATCCAAACTTATCACTCAGGAACCGCTCCAGGCTAAGCGAGGACTCAGCTGAGAACGCGTCTGACATCTCCTCGGCGATATCAGGCGTCAGGTACGAAGGCGCAATGTACTGAAGGAGGAAGGCTAGGTCGCTCTCTGTGAACTCGCCCTCATTCTGCTCTTCTACTTTCCCCTTGCCCTTGCCTTCGACTTCGGGCTCTTCCCAGGACACCGGCTGTGGCTGCGGCAGGTCGTAGATATCGCCGCGACCCTGCAACTGTGCGAGACTGCTACGCTCGGCGAGCTTCTCTTCTAGTCCTTCCTCGTAGCCGTCTTCGCCTTCTTGCGGGATGTGGAACCAGCCGCTGATCGCCATGCGCACGCGCTTCTTGGACTTGTCTTCGCCTTCGCGTGGGTGGTACACTTCCTCGACATCGTGGAAGCTCTCGCCCGGTTGAACGGTGAAAAAGCTCAGCTGGTTGAAGGCGGGAGGGATGGAGAGGCTGTAATCCGGGCTGGGGATCTTGACATCCTCGCCTTTGGCGTCCTTCTCAGTCGTTGTCGGGAACAGGCGCAGGGCACCGCCCCACTCGGCTTGCCAGGGTGTGTCGGGGTCGGTCAGGTAGAGGATGTAGCTGAGGCGACGGCTTCCGATGACATCATCGTGGCACAAGAGGTGGCAGCCCTCGGTGTAGACGTTAATGGCCATGTCGGTCTTCTGACCGCTCAGCTTGCCGGAGCCAGTCACGGAGGACAGGTACTCGCGGAACCGTGCTGAGTACATCGCGTCACGCAGCTTCAGTACGGACGGCAGCTTCGAAAGGGAGGAGTCATCCAGTCCATCGAGGTTAGCGAGATCGCCAGACTGGAAGATCTTGTAGATGTCTGTTTCCTTCTCGGTGAAAGACACTTGTGTTTCGATCTCATCGCGGACAGAGCGGAGGAGAGTGGGCTCGATCAGAGGGTGGATGACACCGTGGAGGTAGCTAGGGATTCAGACATGTCAGTTTTTTGTTATTGAATTATTTTCCTGCGTATACATACGGTGAAGACTTGGCGTATTGACTGGTGTACTTCTGCTGCTCCGCGGTGTCGAACAGGCCGTCGCGGAAGCGGGCAGCAGCTTCCTCGCTGGAGAGAGCCCGTTTCTTGGACTGGGGCATGGCATTGCCATCGAGGGAGGCCCTTGCGTCTGTCTTGCGCTTCATTTTTGAGGTTTGTAGAGGAATGAGAGCTTCACCAGCGAGTGGTCTGATGTTTCATAGATTTTTCCGGGCGGTGAGAGCGCACGATGAGGCGGTCAACTGTGTTGGTGTTACATCCCCAGCTCTGAGAGAGAAGATCACAGTTTGTCTAAGGTCCAGTCTATTGTTATACAGATCCTACATATATAGTCTAAATTTAGTTTAATTTTCAATCAATGTTGCGTGTCAAACACCTCAATTATAGGAGGGCTATCTCTCTTCGTAGATCAGTGGCGCATAGCCGATACGCTCATCCCTATCCGAAGGCAAACTAATTCCTGCACATATTTTTCTTCATCTCCGAAATCCGAAATAGCAAAAGTTCCTTCAATATCAGCGCCAGTCTTTGTTTTGAAGCCATCGCACGTTGCACATGTGATTGCGGCAAATCCAGGCACCGCTGTCGTCATAACCCGCATATCCCGCCTTATCACCGGAAAGACCTCGATTGTCCCCCCCACTTAGGGACTTGCTTGATCCGATCCTCTTCCACTCCGTCGAATTTCATCATGCAGCAACAAGGGGCTGAAGCCCCAATCCCAGATCAGCCGGGAACTCCACCTCGTCCACCTTATTCCCCAGTGACGCCCGTGTTTGCTCATCTCGCGCCAGTCCCTTCCAACGAGCCATCAATCGTACCGCCACCTGCATCTCCCTCTCCAACATCACACCTCCCTCCACAGTCATATGCCAACTATTCACATGCCCCGCCTCCTCCGCCCAATCCCCCTGTCTTCAAACCTCGACCGCCCCCTGTCCCTATCTCTGAGAGCGAGAATCCAGATGTCATCGCGCTCCGTTCCGCCATTTCGATCCTGCAAATGCAGAAGCAGCAAACTTTACGCGATATCCAGGCATTAGATCGCATGAAAGAGGCCGCTGCCGCTGACCCAGAAGGGTTTGCGCATGAGCTGGCGGCAGGTCGGTTGAAAACCGAGGACCACGGCGCCGTGATCCAGTTCTCCGAGGATGACGCAAGGGACGACGATGAGGACGAAGAAGGTTCAAAACGCACGAATCCAGACGGCTCACCGGCTTCGAATTTCGGCCATATCCCCGTTCCGCAGAATATCGTCCGTATGCCCCCAATCAACTGGGCCAAGTATCAGGTTGTTGGAGAACCGCTTGATCGCATGCACGAGGAGCAATTACATCGCCCAAGCTCAGGAGAACCGAGACGAACGCGCGCGCCAGAGCATGTTTTGGCGTCGCCGTATCGGCCGTTGGTAGATCAGTTGGAGGGGCCGCCGAAACTCGGTCGTCCGAGCAAGGCGAAAAAGACTTGAGCCTGTAAAGTGGATTTGATGATTATGGGATTATGGACTTTTACGAAGTTATGTACTTTACAACTTACGAACAGAGCTGGACTTGTGTGTTTCATTGCCTATTTCGCATGGTTTCTTGGGTGGATTGCCGCTGTGTTTTGCGCACTATACTGAATATAAAAAGACAGAGAGAGGAAAGATTCCTCATTTATCCATACATTAAAGGTTCGAAATTTTGTTATGACTCGTCCCTTGTCCACCAGTGGCCGTGAACCGAGACTCCCGTTCTAGACACTGGTGCGGAGCCCCTGTGAATAAAAATGTCAATATATACCTAGGTATGTAGGTACCTACGGAGTACTCCGTATATCTACCCGATTTTCTCTGGCGGGTGGGATTTCCTATTTAGGCTGCCGCTTTAGCAAGGGCGCTCGATCTCTCGGAGTGGAGATCAGCACGAGCTAGTGATGAAATCAGACTGGTCACGTGTATGATCACTAATACCGATAAGGGCCTATCCATGGATAATAGCCCATAATTAGGTAGCCTATTAACGGGGTCTTGGCGCTTACAACTCGGCATCTTGAACCTTGGTAATCGCTATATTCTACCCTTCTACTGATTATTGGGAGCTCGAATTTGAAATTTGGAATTATGATGGTTATATAAGAATATATTTTAGTTTTAAACAAAATCCAACAAGTAGAGATCAAGGTGTTGCGGAAAGAAAAGTTAATATTAGATATATATCTCAGATTGACATGGAGAGTACCTAGGTACTACCAGTTACATCCTTCTACGTGAACTTCAATAATTTGAAATTTATTTAAAAAGCGCGTTTGCTCGCATTTTTAAACATGATAAATAAACAGAACTAATAACGAACTTAGAATTGGTCAAAATGATAAAATATTACCCTAAAATAAGGGCTAGATATGGGGTCTAAACTTAATGTACTTAGTGGTTCAAAATGTTTGCGTTGTTTAGTGGCAATTGGGCCTAAGGGGCCCCCATCAAGGGCGTAAAGCCCAGCCCATTTGCGTGTTGGGTTGGGTTGGGCTATGGGCTTTATGGGCTTCGTGGAGGTCTATTCATAGGGCACGGGGAGAAAGTGGAGGGCTTTCTCTATTTCCTAATGATATTTCTACCAGATGCCTCTGTCAGTTTCTTTTGTGTTACATTCCCTGCATTGGTAACATTCGTATATTCTGTTTGCTGCTATCCTCATCTGCAATGGACTACCTACATTGTGTGTAAAACAATGCAATCATACCGCCAATGAGAATTTCAGAGCGAATGATCCATGGATATGACCATTAACCTGTGGAAACACACTGACATTGAAACTTGAGGTTGAATCAGCCCTAAAGATGTGGCATTTAACTTCCGCCTCGGGCCGACGCGCAGGTTATTGGTTTAGACTTTAGGTAACTTGCATACCTTTAAGGTTTACCAGCATTCCAAGGCGAGTGCCGATCACGATCTTCCGTTCGAGGAATGAAAGCCTCCACAATTCAGCTGTGATAAGACCACTACCCTTGCAGGTTGATGAAGCCGGAGTCAGAGTTGCCAGTGAAGTCAGAGCCAGAACTATCAGTTATCGAGGCCCCTGTGGGACAGAACTGATACTCCACACACTTGCCACTTCCCAGCACGCAGCTACCATTCTTGAGGACCTGGCCCTCACCGCACTTGGGTTTCTCCACCGAGACACATTCACGAGTGCTGCGTTCGTATCTGGTGCCATCGGGACAAGATGGCGTTCGGGTCGAAATGCACCGGTTATTGTGGAGACGCAATCCATCGGGGCATTTGGGAGAAGAGTCAGACACACAATCATCTCCTTCCAAGCGTGTTCCAGGGGGGCAGACTGGATTTTCTTTCGACACGCAATCGTCCCCACTGAGAATCATACCATCCCGACAGTCAGGTTCAGTCAAGGAAACACACTCGTCATTCTTGAAAGTGTATCCATCCTTGCAGTCATGACGCTCGCTTGTGCGGATACATCGTCCGTTCTTCAATATGAATCCAGTATCACAATTTGGGCCGCTAAGGGACTCGCACTTGCCATTGACGAGGTGCGAACCATCATCGCAATTTGGAATATCGCCTGTGACACATTTGCCATTCTGTAGCTTGCCATTTGAGCATCGCGGGGTGATGGTAGTGATGCAATTCCCATCCTTATCGAGAACCGCTGGCCCTTCACATGTGGGAGGCTTGTTCGAAACACAGAACTCGCCACTAAGGTGTGTACCAGGATGACAGACAGGCGTCGTGGTAGTCATGCAATCGTTGCCATTTCGAACCCCATCACGACAATCCGGAGTGTCATTATCGACCACGCAGTGAGGTTCTTGCCACCTACCACGTCGGCATATTGGAGGAATGTTGCTCAAGCAAATATCCCCTTCCAGTCTGGTGTTTGGCGGGCATTTGGCCTCTTCTTTGAACACACACTCGCTTCCAACAGGCGCAAAGCGAGGCGGGCATTTCGGGGTTGTTGTAGTGACACAATTTCTATCACTATAGGTACCCTCGGCACACTTTGGCTTCGATCGCCAAACACACCGGTTGTTCTGCAATGAATAACCCGCTGGACACTCAGGCTCCGGGGTGATATAGCTATCACACCAACCTTTGACTGGAGGTTGTCCATCGGGGCAGGTATCGTCGACGGGCCGGGTCCGGCAAACACGGCCATTCCAACCCATCCCTTTGGGACAGCATCGAACAGTATGGTCAGATGGGTTGAAAGAGCGCACAAGGTCTTTCTGCCGGCACACGGGTCCTTCATTATAGACACATTTGTCGCCTTGCAGTTGTGAGGAGTCAGGACAATGGGGTACTTGCACGATGCGCTCGCAGGAACCGGTGTCTTTATTGTACTTGCTGCCGTCACATAAAGGGCCAACGTCAGCGATACATTGACCATTCTTTGGGGTGCTCCCGAGTGGACAGCTTGGCTTGAATGTAGAGCGACATTTGTTGATTGTTTTGTCAAGTTCTGCTCCATCGCCGCACACAGGAGGTTCCGAATCAATGCAAACACCATCCTCGAACCTGGCAGATCCGTGGCATTCGGGGGATTGGTCACTGATACAGTGCCCCTTATGATTGTAATGTTCATTCGGTCGGCATACGGGAGCCTTGGGCGACACGCAGACGTTGCCTTTCTTAATCAAGTCGTCCGAACACACAGCCCCCTTTCTAGTCACGCAGTGATCACCCTGTAGTACAGTACCACCATCACAGACTGGAGGCTCGGGTGTGACGCAGTTACCATCGACATAGTCCAGCCCGCCGTTACAGAAAGGTTTCACTCGCGAGATACAACGATCATGGTCACGAAATGTGTTTTCCGGACACTTAGGGGCAGACAAGACACAGTTTATGCCATCAAACTCTGTTCCATCAGGGCAACAGCCGGTCTTTCCTGACTCTGCGTCTTTGAGAGGCTTGATATGATCAATCCCCCATTTCTGCGGGTTCTGACAAGGGGGCGTGATAGAGCAGCGCTGTGCAACTGCCAATGAGGCTGCCAGAATCACTGCCAGAGCCCTGGGTTTGGGCCACATGGTCACTTGAAGTTTTGCAACGAATGTGAGATGGAGAGTGAGAATTGGTTTGAAAAAGATCGAGCATTGTGGTCTCAAAAGTACTGCTTTATACCCAGATCAATCAGTACAGTGAGTTGTAAGTGGGCCTTGGGTATGATCGAGTTATCCGTCCATTACATCTTGAGCTGTTACTACTGTTTCCGCAGATACCTTGTAGCCTCGTCAGATTCTGCTCACGGAAATATGGGCTCGAGGATTCTTCGTAGTTGCAACTTCTGATAGTCGATGATGCTGCTCTCTACCTTGTCGATGCGTTCAGCATTAGATAGCGCTGCATAATTTGACCCTTTTGGAATTTTTAATACAATAATTTACCCCTAGGTCAGTAGCAAGTGCCGAGTTCGATGGCACTGTTACCTAGAATATTTATTGGATATCCATAGTTTGTCTCCAAGTATTCTCTGGGAATTCTCGCTAGATTACAGAATACGGTGTAGTGTACAACATAGCTGTCATTGACTTTAGACAATGATTCCTCGAATACAAATCTCAAAGTGGTTATGATAGGAGTGATAGTCGGTGATTCATTGATGCAACTCTCCCTGGCCCGCAAAGAATTGACCACACCATTACTCGAATCAATAGAGCAGGCAATTAGAAAGGTGAACATGAAACTCTCTGGGTCCGCTAATATAAAGATGCGTATTCCTAGCACTTAGTACGGCCTTGGGAGCTATCTTCATTCCTGTGCGTTGGTAACTTTTGAAATCAGTATGTGGACCAGAGCTAGATATGTGTCACTTCTTCTTTTGCTCTCAGCGGAGCCACTTCTAGCTGGACCCGCTGCCTCAGGCCCTGTTCAGCCAGGTGATTTATTCGCTATCTGCATGGAAGCAAACACCCACGCGAAAGCTACCGATGGGAAGATCTCCTGCGGTGCTGGAAATGTACCGGCATATTACAACGGCGCCAGATCCAAAGGCAGCGGCAATTTTGCGCTGGAATTCCAAAGCCACCCTGAAGACGGTCACTATGAGTTCGGGATCGACATTCGGTGTCAGGCCAGCCAGAGTGATTTCGTCACCAAGACTGTGACAATAACCGCTACCACCACGATACAGCCAGTCACAATGACCAAGACTGAAGACCTTTCAATTTCCACTGTTACTGTGATCTCCACAACCGACTGCGCCGACTCTCGCATTACGCCTCACCCTTCACCAACTCCATCGCCAGATCCCACAAAATTTTGCGCAACTGGTTCCCCATACTGCTGGAATGAACGAGAGCAATATAAAAGTGGCGCTGATTGTGCTGATGGGTATAGAATGGAGGGTTGCCACTGCCGCCACTTGTTCAGAGGGGATATCCGTCGCCCTCGGTGCAACGATGTTGGAACGATTAAGTGTACAAGCTGCCAATAGAATAGTCTGAGGTGGTTCTGAATGCGTTCTTTTGATGTGGGTCCGAGGCTACCGACTAGTTGGCCATACCTGCTGGTCCAACCACCAACTATCGTATGTCATTCAGCTATACGTCTCGCCAGACTTATCAAGTCCTTTACACGGTAGTAAGATATCTGAATGCAAGACTGGATTGAAAACTCATTGAGAGCTTGAAGTTACTGTTATATTACTGTAGTGGCTTTGCAATAAGTAGTCTTCTTTATTCGTAAACCGATCGCTGTCACCTTGGGGTGATGAAATTGGGATAAGTCCATTACTGTGGCATAGACACATGTCTGATACATCTGCTGAGAATCCTAAGCGCATCATTAACCCGCGAGTCATGCACTGAGCAGTATGTAGTAATTTCCATGTGGAATGTTGTGCTACATTGTCATATTGATTTATCTCCACAGCGGTGGATTCTGCATTCCAACTTGTGTTGCAGGACATAGGGAATCTGTTGGACTCCACTTTCATCTATGATCGACGGACTTTACTGCTCGATAAGACTTTCGAAATTTGTATTGGCTCATCATGCATCAGCGTATCATCCCAGATGGAGCCCATATCCCTCCAATTCCATGCTCGCCAACGGTTCCAACCCTGTTAGCGTATAATTCACTTGTACCAATTCGCTGACTGGAAGACTATATCTTTTCCTTGAGTTGTGGAGCACGATGATATTAGAGCTCATCCGAAACTGGCTGATTGAGGTGTCATTGTCACTCCCAATGTTACCCTCTCTAAGACCGTCATATCCCAAGAGTCAATAGTCATGGCCAAGGATCATCGACTGGCATTACCTTGCCTGTAAAAGATCAGCTCCGTTGACTTGTGTTGGCTGAAAGCGTGCTCTGGGTTCAGCTAAGATGGTCATTGAATCATTGACATGCTCAGATGAGAGCAACCTAGGCCAGTGTACGTTTCTTCTTCTTCTGCATGTTACATTAACTCCAAACTCAAAAGCGCATGATCCTCTTGATGCGGCTGAAGCTGGGCAATCTCAGGCTACTTAAAGGCGTGGTGGTTCAACCTAAGCCGATTCATACGAGTATACCGAATTCCTTCTTACAATGCACTTCAAAAGCGTCCTGGCTGCTTTCTTTGCCCTCACCCTGAGCGGCGTTGCTCATGCCGAGGAAGATAGCCCCGGTGCTGTGAACCCCGAGTTCAGCCTTCCAATCAGCTATGGGAAATGCTATCACCTCGTGAACCACAACAACGAGTACGTCGGCCACGACCTTCCCAATCCTGGAAGGCTCAAGCTTGGCAGGCGTGGCAACGCAGCAGTCTTGAAAGTCTGTGCGAACATGCAAATCTGTACAAGCAACAGGCCAAGCGAGGTTGTGCAAGCAGGCGAAGAGTGGTACCTATACGACACCCAGGGCAGCACGCTCAGCCATGGCGGCGCGTTTATTGTGGGTCAAAAGAACGCCTTTTTGCTCCCTGCGTGGTGGGCCAATCAGAACTTTATGGTTTTCCATGGCATCAATGAGCGGGCCTCGCGCTCAGATATCGGCATTCGTCTCTTCGCGCATGATTCTACCTACCCAGTCCAGACAGGGCTCCACATAGGGTTCGTTACAGGGGATTACATCTATGCTGGAGGTGGTAGTAACCAAGAGGGAATTCTCATCGACTTTGAGGAAGTCAATTGCCCCCCCAGCTTCTAAACGCTTGAAGTGCTTGTCTTGGGTTTCTCCTTTGCCTGGGAGGGTGAGTGAGTGAGCAGCCCAAAGTGGAACCATATTGTGGGTCAAGTCTTGTTCAATGGAAGCTTTTGTAAAACAACAAATAGCTGATGCTAGGTGCAAGCTGCAATTGAAGCACGACATACGTTCAAAGGGACAACAGAGCTATCAATACGAAGTGGTGATTCTATTGTGCCCGAGATTGGAAACCGGAGATTGGGGGAGGAGACGAGAGGCGGGAAGCTAGCTAGACTCTGTACCCTGGAAGGAATGCTTCCGACAGATACCAGATGATCAAAACCAGTTAAACTTCTAGCTTGATTTCCTTAATTTGCTCCTGTATACATCAGCATCAACATTAAAATATTAAGGGCGAGTGTGTCAACAGGGATTCCCCACATGCCCTGGCTCCCTGCAATCGTCATAATCAGGGACCGTGGCAGCGGGGAACTTAAATATCACTTCAACCCCCGTTACTCGACCCGAAAGGTGCCATTAAAGGGTACCAAGGGTATTGAACTACTTGGATTAGCTCCAGATATGTATTATATTGAACATTGCGATGTCTCACTAGCAGATCCCAAAAGGTCCATTTGCCGGTCTCCTACTAGCCGAGTATAGTGCCTTTGGTCTACGCATCGATAGAGTCCAGACCTTTAGCTGTGAGCTCGGACCAATTGACAGGAAATAAAATCTCAATTGCTTTGGACCTCCGTGATGCTAGCTCGCGCAATGCCTGTCTCCGTCTCCTCAATGCCGTAGACGTCCTGACCGACCCATTTCGCCCAGCCCCTAGGCAAAGTCCCTAGACGTATGATCTAGGATAGAAATGATTTTCTCCACGTATAAATAGGATATAGGATATAAGACAAGATATTGAGTCTCAGTTAGTTGATAGAGAGAAAGGGAATAAAGAAAACCACGATTTATTTCATCTTAAGATACTCCTGCAGATCTTCAGGTAAAACAAACGGAGTTTCTTCAGGCAAACAACCTTTAGCAGCTTGCACATCCCCAGTCTCAAGGTATCCATCGATAAGCCTCATAGTAGCAGTCACGTCAGTAACCGAAACAATCCACTCATCAACATATCTTCCCACAGCCTCCCCACTCAACCCAATTTGAATACTTCGATAGCTCAAAGACCGCATTGAAATATCCCGCTCGGGATCCCACTGAACGCGTACTGGACTAGCACGCAGTTTCTTCCGCCACTCCTCCTGGCTTGTCTCCTCGCCAGGCATATAGTGACTCAAACAGGAATGGCGCAACGCCCATTCGAATCCCTCGCGGGTAATCTCTATCGCTAGGACACGCTCCTGCCGGGGCTTTTTTGCCCAACCTGATCGGTATGCCATCCATAGGAAAGAGGGCTTGATCCAGGTCATTCTCTCGCGTGAAAATGGTGGGACGAACTTTTGGGCTTTGAGTGCTGGTTCGGCTATTTCGGGGGAATATGCTTGGTACACTGTGATCGTACTTGGGGTTTGCTTGGCTCGAATGGCTCTGTATGTATTTGACGCCATTTTTGGATGTGTTAGATGTTGGGGGGCCGTGGAGGTTCGTAATGGAGGTGGACACAGAATATTCATGTGCGGGGTATAGTGAGATCTCGTAGTAAGTGTCAGAAATAGGGCTTGGACCTTGAAGTGTGTGTAGAAATACCGTTGCTTTCAAACAAATAAATGAGTACCTATATATATGTAAGTGTCTAGGTAAATACTGACTCATAAAATTAAGTCCACCCACACCAAACCTAATCGGGAGCCCGCAATACACCAGTCAGGAGTTGACGAAACAATGCATCTTTGTCGACGCTTTCGGGCTATCAGTACAATAAATAAGAGTACCAAAGTTTGTAGTAGCAGCTAGTTATTACATAGACAATTGGTTACCTTACAAAACACGGATTAATTCGCTTATAGTGCGGCTCTGGAGCTGCATTACCGCCCCACATAGAACTATAAGAGTTTATATTAAAGAAGCGAAAGCGCAAACACCAAGACTACTGGCCGGTTTGCTTCGGGTCTACAGCAATCAGCACACCTACTCAGGATAGATAGAAACGCCGATAATTTGTCTGGGACGGCGTCCAATCAAAAATCAAAATACCATTGTAAGGAATCTGAAGAACACCAAAAGGGATGGTGATCTTAAACCAACTTCACGAGTAAAAAGGGCAAAGCTTAGGCATAACATGCAGCAAGGCCTCATCCGGGGGCATTCTCAGCATCCTCCCCAAGTAAAGAAAAGCCAAAGGCAAAACAAGATCGTTGGGCATTCACGGCCCCTAAAGACACTTTTCAATGTCCTGGTCAGCTTCTTTAATTGCTGCCCAGTATTGCACATGGGCCTCCTGGGCACGCTCTTCATCAGTCTTGACATTTTCCTGGGGTGTCTGAGAGATCTCGGTGGGCTTGAAAAGGGGGGCATCCAAGGTGCAGTCGGTGCACAATTTGGTGGCAACACCAGAGTCGATCAGGCGCTCTGTGTTCGCCCTAACCCGTTCTTGGGCGATAGGGTCGCGTGGCTTGCATGCAATTAGGATGTGGTTTTCCCCAGCCGCGTTCACGGGCTGGTGGTTGAGGTGGGTCTAGGGTACCTGAGTCAGTAAAGGACTGGGGAGATATGAGGTAGAATAAATATCTTACGGCGGGGGTACCGGATGCAGGAGCTGTCTTTGAGGTCAAGATGCTTTCTCCGAGGGGGATCTCATCACTGGTGGTGGCATCTGCTTGCCCACCACGCTGCTGGTTGTAGTAGACCACCGCCTGCCTCCAGGCCTCGTACTCGGTAAGACCCCCAGAACGCTGGAGGGCCATGATCTCCTTGAAGGAGAGTGGAATATGGTCTTGTTCCTCCATTCTTGTAAGTCTTGGTTGAGTGATTTGATGGTGTTAGCCTAGATGCATGAAGGTGAGGATGGATGAAGGCAAAGATAAAAGGTAGGAAAGGAGGGATACTTACTAGAGGCAGTGATAAGTTGGAGATGAGGAATAGAAGGGAGCTCAGTCTAAGTGAGAAAGTGAGAGATCTTAATTCTGGCAGGGCCAAAGATGTTTGATTCTAAGTTGACTACCTTGAAGGAGAGCTCGGCGTTTAAAAGAGATGAGAATATCAAGCAATTGTTGTTGTGGTCTCAAACATTTTGACAAGCCAATCTTGAAGAATTGAGATGTGAGGAAAAAGTGAGAGCAGTATAAAAGAGACGCCATACTAAGGTTGACAACCAGTTGATGCTGGCTGTGTTAATCGCATCTTGAACTGACATAACACTAATCGATTCTTCCCAAATAGAAGCGGATGGAGTGACGGCCATATCTATAGACACTATGATGGACACCCTAAATTTAAATACCATTTTAGAAGGGAACTACGACCAGTTCTTTTTCTGATTGATGTTGTAGAATCCTAGCCAACAGGCGAACAGTTCAATTAGGAAAAATAAATATAGGATTCAAGGCCTAGTGAACGAAATATCCAGGTATTATAAAGCGATTATAAAAGAGCAATGTGGACTGGCGTGCCTGTGGGGATCTGCAGCTCAGAGGAATATCATTGTCCTGGGATATCTAAACAATGGTCATAGTTTGAGCCATAGGTCAGATAAGACGAAATCTTTCAGATGAGCCCGAGTATATCCTTTTTTGTTCTACCAACTTCCAGGGTTCCTAATTACGAACAGACTGTACGTAATTAGGAACCCTTGGGCGTGGTCCAAATCAACCAAAGGCCATATTACGAAGTAATATATCAATATGAAAGTAGTTGTTGTGGCGGCCTTAGGAATCATCCTCCTCATAGGTAGATAGCCGGAAGATCGTTCCTCTGTACGGGTTAGCAATCAACTCTCTCCGTCCTTACTTTCCGGCCCTACAGTTAGTAGATGCCACAACAAGTTATAAGCCTTCACTCTTCGAGCATTTCTTCTTCATTTCTTTCATATTAGGATGTAATTCATCTAAACATTCATTTACATCTGTACCGTGCACAGAGTCACAGGACAGGTTTTTCATTGGTGGACTGCCCATTTCTGGGGTCGCGCAAAACGCACGTGTTCGCCCCACTGTGGGACAATCTTGAACTTTATTGATCCACAACTCTTGGGTCAACCACCGAATCATCCAATCATCGATCTGAGCCTACCGAAGACCAAACCAATTGACAGAAATAGACGGATACGACAATGTATGGTAAATCTGACATATGTAAATTCTCTAACTAACTAAAATGACAAGATCCGCTCTTTTCCAATCTCGGCGGACATAGCTGATTAAGCAATGTATGTATTTTTGTATGGTACCGTTATCATGACGGTCCATTGATTTCCCGGTTTGTAAAGACCTGGTAATTTCAGCATGCATAAATGCATAGTACTTGACACACCCCCCAGTTCTTGAAGCTATTCAAAGCTCTCAAGGACTGCCTTTCTTCCAACTGTTTCGCAGCTGCTTCGCAACCGCTTCGCAAATGATTCGCAAGTGATTCCAACTTACCTCACCTGTCTCCTCACTGATCTCGGCTCAAATCGTCGATTTATGCAGTTTCCGCAAAACAGCCTCTGTTCTCAGAGGTCATGTGACGAATCATGTGACCTACGTCCCTCATTCCAACCAACTCTCTGAAGTGTCCCTGCTTCTGCTTCGTCAGAGCTTTGGTGAGCCCATCTGCTGGCATCGCAGCAGTTGGTACCCAGTCCACATATACTCGACCTGCGCTAACTTCTTGCTTCATCCAGCATCGATTGATGTCAACATGCCGGAGCTTCGTATGCATCGCGGCCCCTTCCTTCGTCAATAAATCGACAGTTTGCTGGTTGTCACACATGATGGATAGTGGGTGATCTGGTTCGAAGCCTAGTGCATTAAGCACTCGTCGCCACCACTGTACGGTTTTTCCTGCCTCTGCTAAAGCTAGTAGTTCGGCCTCGGTAGTCGATGTGGTGACAGTCTTCTGCTTAGTGGCCTTCCAATCGATTGGGCCACCATATAACTTGCAGATATACCCTTCGGAGCTCTTTCGATCTTTATGGTCTCCGAACGACGCATCGCTTGCAAATTCAACTGATTTCGCCGCCATCGTCAGGGTCGTATCTCGATTTCTAGGTTGTTTGTTTGGTGTTCTGATGCCGTATTCAATGGCCCAAAAGCGTGTCTCATAGAGATACTGTATGATGCGATCGACTGCATCTATATGCTTTGGTCCTGGATTTGTAAGGAATTCAGCCACTTTGGAGGTTGCTTTTGCAGCATCTACCCGGGTAATGGTGGTGGCATACTGCGCAGATCCAACCTTGGCCTGGAAACCATGAATCTGTTGCGGTGATGCCACCCCATCATAGGGTACTAGAGGCTCAATGCTCAGTGGGGACCCTATTTTTCTCTCTGTGACGAGATTGTATTTGTGTGCCATGCTCTCGATGTAGCTATCTTGGCATAACCAGAGCTTCTTCTGCTCTCTATCACGTATAATACGTATATTCAAGAACCAGCTTGCATCCAGTTCTCGAAGCTCCCATTGCTTCTTTAGATTTTGATCTAGTAAAGCGGCTTCTTTAGCCTGTTTGGGGTGATTGACGATGATGATATCGTCCACGTAGAAAAAGACAATAATGCCTTTGGTTGTAAAGATGCATGGATCTTCTTCCACTGGGGTAAGGCCTAGTTTTACTAGCACCTTTGTAGCTTCTTGCTGCCAAAGCCTTGGTGACATGCGCAATCCGTAGAGGGCTCTATGCAGGAGCCAGCACTGATTTAGTGCTTCGAAGCCTGGTGGACACTTGGTATAAACCTCGCTTTCTAGCATTGAATTCAGGAATGCGGTAACCACATCTCTCTGAATCATATCTAGATCAAAGGCGGCAACTAGTGCGAATACTGCTCTCGCTGTTTTGACAGCTAGTGTAGCAGCTCTCTTTTCTTCAGTTGACATCCACTGTAGATCTCCTCTCACGCAGATTCTTGCTTTGAACTTCTCGAGCATACCATCTGCATCAAATTTGTATGTAAATACCCACTTCAATGGCAAGATCTGGGTGCTCTTTTTGTTCGGTAATGCAACCTGAGAGAAGGTCTCTTTAGCCTTTAAGGTCTCAATTTCAAACTCCGCAGCTGCCTTCAATTGCGTGGCAAAGGGATGGATTTTTAGCCGCTTCCAGTTCTCTGGTGGTGGAGGCATCTGATCTCTATGCAGTCTGTTTTGCATATTGAGCTTCTTCGTAATACCTGTTGTAAAGGCATATAGAAGGCTTGGTGGCTCGGCTAGCTGTTTCTCGTCTAGCGATAGATATGCAGTGTAGTCTGGATCTGCCTTTGGCTTCCGTATTCTGGGGCCTGAGATGATGTTAGATTCATCAATTGACGCAGAGATCTCTCTAGTAGGCCGATCTTCTGGCTCTGGAGTAGGCGTATACTGCATCTCTTGTTGCAATTGACGCTCTATCTCTGCTTCATCTTCATCATATTGATCTCCCTCTCCCCCTTCAGCTTCGATCGACTGTATGACATTGATCGGATCTGGCGAAGATAGCGAGGTAGGAGATCTCTCATGTGGCGTACTCTCAATCGTAGCAATCCACGATAGTGCTCTTTGTGGTGAGGCTCTCTGTGGTGACATAGGGAAGCTCCCAGGGATCTGTTCTTGATCCCTTACCTCTATCATTGAGATATGTTCTACCACTGAAGCAGGGCCTGCCATTGAAGCCGGTGTTAAAGGTAAAACAGGTGTTTCCTTTAAAGGGGGGACCCTTGGTGTCTCCTCCCTACTATCTAGAGTTTGAGCTTGCTCCACAACTCTAGATTCCTGGATTTCTTCATTTACCGCCTCTGGTGCAGTACCTTGTTCTCGGTTTTCGACGTCATCATTGAGAGTTATGCGAGCAATTGACATCGGCATACGCATCTCTATGCTCAATTCTGACTGCGCTTCTTCCATTGAGAGCACTTGGGGCCAGTTCTTAGCGCTTAGTCCATTTGTCATAGTACTAATTGCATCTTCTTCTTGCGGTAAAGGCTTCGTTTTAGAGTACTGTCTCGATTCATCGAATACAGCATCTCTTACAACTTCAACTCTGCCTATGCCTGCTCGCCCTTTGTATGGAAACCAGATCTTGTATAGGCTCTTTGAAACATAGCCTACAAGATAGCCGATCTCTGCTCTCGGAGCCATCTTGTTAGATTGTACTCTCTTCAGAAGCCTTGAGTACGTTAAGCACCCATATAGCCTCATATTCGACAGGTTGACAATTTGATCTTTTAAGCCATCTGGAGCCGCATAGCGCATCAATTCCTTCCATGGTATGATCCACTTACCATCCATCTTTGTAGGGGTACGATTCATCATATATGCAGATGCATACATCGTCTCTGGCCATAGATTGTGGGGTAGGTTCGTACCATTGAGCAATGCTCTGCCGTTCCTTACTATCATGCCTCCAGATCTCTCTGCTGGTCCATTCATCTCTGGCAAGCCAGGTGGTGCATGCTCAATGGTACACCCTTCGTCTTCAATCATAGATTCAACCTCATTGCCGGCGCTTCTCTCATTATCATAATGAAATACCCTGATCTCGATTTTCAACCAGTTTCGGATCAATGCTAAGAATTTACGAACTGCCATCTGACACTCGCTCTTCTTTATATGGGTAAATACGAAGTGACACCTTATTCCATCGAGATAGAAGTGCGTCATCCATATATGACCGTTGTAGGCAGGCTGGTTTTGTACTAGATCGAAGTGTACTCTCCCTAATATACCATATGCCTGGCCTATCTTCCGGCGAGAGATTTGCCTAGGTGCATCTGCCAATTGACAAGCTTCACATACCTGCATTTCTTTGCCTGGGTTGCTTGCAATAGTGATTCCTTCAGTCATCTCTGCCAGTTTGACAATTCGCGCCTTGCCAATGTGGCCTAATCGACGATGCCAGAGCTCAATTGAAGCCTCAGATTTTGGCTCCTGATTGGATTTCTTAGTGGCAAACGTCATTTCAGGCTTCAAATCTGATGCCTTTTGGGTTATAAAACCCCTTGTCTGGGTGAGCCATGATAGCTTCTGATCGTGGTAGATCTTATAGATCTGACGATGGCCATCAATTGTCTCAATGCAGTTTGCTCTGAGATTCATTAATAGGCCCCCCTTCATCATCAATCCATGAGATATCAGATTACTATGGAAGTTTGGCGAGTACCTAGTTTGAAATAGGTTCATCTTAACGGCGCTTCCAGTGGTAGGGTTTACACCATAGATGACCACAGTGCCTATACCGGCCACCTTCGTCTCTGTATCTCCCACTTTGACGTTGCTCTGTACGCTTTTAAAGGTGCTAAACAAGCTCCGATTGTTGCATACGTGGATTTGAGCACCTGTATCAACTACCCATCTGTCTTCTGTAGGTGTAGTTGTGGCTTCAAAATCCTTGATTTTTGTTGACATAACGGTGTCAATTTTGACTGCGTTGGTTGTCAAGAAGCCAAAGGCTTCATCGTCGAGGGTTGTATTCGCTTGCTCTTTAGCAAGGGTCCCCCTTGGCCTTCTGCATATGCAGCTCGCTTCTTGTCGACAATTGCCTTCCATCTAGGATTAGCCTTCATGGCCTTCTCCCACTTCTGTTTCAATGCCGGTGAGGGCTGGTAATTAGCAGGCCTTCTATCTTCATAGATTTCCCAGCAGGCCCAAGGCATATGAACTCTCGATTTTACCCTGTCACATGGACATGGCCTTCTTTCTAGGCCATCATTCCTTGCCTCTATAGGCTTTGCTTCTTCATTGCCTTGCCATGTCGAGAAAGCAGCCTTTGAGATGCCTCTTTGCGCAGCCGGCCTGCCATGGGTAATCTTCCAGTGGGCTTTGTACCGAGTCATGATTTCGAAGAAAGGGATGTCCTGATTATCCTGTACTCTGAGAGCCCATGTTTCATAGAATCCAGGCGACATTATAGAGATTGCTTCAAGGAATTGATTCGTGGCATCCTCTGCTTCTGGCATCCTTGCCTTCTTACACGATTGGTAAAGCGATTCCCAGTTTAGAAGCCATTTCTCGATATCGGTGTTCCGATCTAGGCCTCTATCTAGGTTCCGCCACTGTTGACGGAGCTTAGTTTTGTATGTAGGATCGCTCTCTGGTGCAAATCGTTTGTGGAGATTGAGCATCAGCTCCAAAGGTGATGGTATATCAATGATAAAGGGCTGGTAGGGAGTATCAACTGACTGCCTAATTGCCACCGCCACTAGATCTAATGCCTGTAGTTTCGACTGATAGGCTCTGTTCTCTGCATCCCAATCTGCTTTTAGGGATAGCCTCACATTGAACCAGTGTTCTGGGTATTCTTTTATGGCATCTTTGACAGAGATGATCTCTTCAGGTGGTTCCAATTTAGGACGTTCTTCCTCCTTAAGAGACGGATTGCATTGATCCCATACTTTATATGCAACTGCAATTGCTTTAATATATGAGAGCCATGCATCCCATGATTCTGTATCCTTCAAAATGACGCGGGAGGAGGCCGCGGAGAGGCTTAACATGATATTCATTATTGTCGATTTTCGTCGATGAATCTGATCTTCTTCGAAGGAGATAGGGGTGCTTCGACGATTCAGGGGTTGACCGTTGTCAAAACCACTGTGAATCGGCGACAGCTAGGTAAAAGATGGTCTATATGTTGTAGACAGATCTTAATTGGAACGAAACCGGGCTCATAACTGACAGAAATAGACGGATACGACAATGTATGGTAAATCTGACATATGTAAATTCTCTAACTAACTAAAATGACAAGATCCGCTCTTTTCCAATCTCGGCGGACATAGCTGATTAAGCAATGTATGTATTTTTGTATGGTACCGTTATCATGACGGTCCATTGATTTCCCGGTTTGTAAAGACCTGGTAATTTCAGCATGCATAAATGCATAGTACTTGACACCAATCATCAAATCAACCAAGCGAGTACCGGCGATATCGACGAAGATGACGGACAATGTTAACACCACGAACAACACTACTGCTGCCCCAACTGTCGGCTAAACTACCGATTCAGCTACCGTTCCAGCTACTGTTCCGTTGTATAGTCCGGGGGCCCCAGATGACAGGAACTGGGACGCAATTTACGAAATCCAACACAAAGCTCCAGATAAAGGGTATCAATTGCCTGATCCCAAGACAATTACACTTTTCCCAATCACCCCTCCATTGAGCCCCCGAGATGACTATGACGCATGGAAAGCAATGATTGTCAAGCAACTGGAAGGATTGACACTTCGCAACCTGATTGACAACAAAATCGATCGTCCATACCGAAATACACCGAATGTCGAGCGATGTGTCATACTTTCACAGAAGGTCATCTGGATTAGACGCAGCTGTGAACAGAGAAATCAACCTACGAACTGGCAAGATCACATGGGCTGACGAATTCATGCACGAATGTAAGCGCTATTTCAGAGGTGAAGGGCACATTGCTATCACCAGAGCAACGGGAAGATTCTTCAGAACTCAACGAAGCGAGTTTAACACAGTTGAAGAGTTTATCACCGGGGTCCAAAACTGTTTCATAGCAGCAAGAGATCTCAATGGCCTCATGGTGCCATACCACATGATGATAATCATCACCCTCGAGCTCTCCGAAATACCTGAATTGAAGAGTTTCATCACCATGAAAAACAGCGAATTGGGACGCAACCCAGATCCTGGAAGCAATTTGACAATCGACGATGTGCTTACGTACTGTCAAGAAATCATTGACAACGCCGCTTGTGAGAGAACCATTTGAAAAAAAAAAAAAAAAAAAAAACGCGAGAAAATGATGGTGAAGAGTGCAGGATGAGAATCAGTTGCAAAGCAGTTGGGAATCATTTTGATCGCCATAATAACAACCGCGATGAAGAAATTATGACAAATTGAGAGAAAATACGATTACAAAAACTAACAAAAACATGACATTTTTACTATGGGAATCGGAACTAAAGAGATTGATATCCGCTTAATTGGAGGATTTTGGCTTGTCACCAACCCTTCATAGGTAGATGGCAAATCGTCTTTCTGTAGAAACCAACTCTCTCTCTCCTCACTTTCCACCCTACAATTAGTAGATGCCACAACAGTAGTCCTTCCTTAATTCAGATACATCGACCGACACAAGAGGCCGAGTCATTGGTCTAAATGATTGAACCAAGGATAGGTATATGTACACACTTCAATATGATATCAACAAAAGAATCCGAGACCTTCTACATTGCACCCACTCAAAGCTTCGCTTTCCCATTCTTCTCAAACTGTTGTACAGCCTCCGAAGATCTTTCCCGAACAACGTTGTTCTTATCTTCAACCTTCTCCCGCCACTGCAAGTTCCCAGCGTGATCATCCAATCCGCTCAAAACCCGAGAATACATCTCCTCTTTCATGGTGCCGTAGATACCCGTTGCGGCTTTAGTCTGAAGCTTGCGGGTCTGGATAAGCGCAAGTGCTTCCTCGGCTCCACCAACAGCATCAACAATACCAGCCTGGAGGGCATTGCGTCCACCAAAGCGATGAGCTTCTAGAACCACAGTTCGGAAAGTGACTGGCGTCAGCTTCTCGCGGAAAATAGCCATCATGGGGGTTTGAAGCGGGACGCCGAATTCCAGCTCGTTGACACAGAGGAAACCACGGTCAGGGTTCATGATCCGGTAGTCATGGTACATGGCCAACATGAAGCCGCCGGCAAAAGCATGTCCGTTCAGTAGACACACGGTTGGCATGGGGTATCTGGAGCCCGGTCAGTATTTTTTCCCCCTTTTTGGAAATTACGCGTGACTGGACTGTACACTCAAACTGAGAATGTGGGACAAAAACATACGTCAAAAGTCGTCGGAACAAGCGCCACAGCCAGTTCTCGAGGAACCCTTCGGTTTTCCCGACAAGATCCAGATCAAGCCCATTGCTATAGAATTTGACAATTCCACTGGTAGTCACTACGACACCCTTGGGGTAACGGTGTTCAATAATGTCCAACGCGAGCAGGAGAGCATCAATAAAAATGGGTGTCAGTCGGTTGTCCGGAGGTGAAGTAAAGGTGAGCACATAGATGGTTTCATGCTCTTTTGCTGTACTGGGGTTTGTGCAGATGATCGAGCCTCCGGTAGAGCTGATCGGTACGGTGAAAAGAGTCGTCATGGTGGAAATGTTTGGAATAAAAAAAGTTGTGGAGAAAACATGATAACTACGTTCAAATATAATCGGGTATTTGAATACTAATCAGACCTCGGCGCCATCACATGCTGCCGGCGATGATGTCATCACGTGATGGTCGAAGCCATTCAGATTGGTTCGTAGGGAGGACAAAGGATTACTCGTGGTATTTAATATCTCGGAAGATTTTTCATTTCAAGAGCTACCGGAGACAATGTATTAGTGTTCAAGTTTCCTTGGAGGGAGGTGGCTGTTAACTGGCATACCGCACTAAGTGTTGATTAAATACATATCTGAATGAGTTAGCATAGATCGCAGAAAGAGATAAGATTCATAACTTTCTATAAATGAACAATTCCAGGGAATACTTCTTAAGCTCATCGAACGCCTTTTGCATATTTTCGTCCACAATGATTGTATCATCGTTCCGCGAGTTGGCATGTTCAAATCCGACTTTAGCCCGTGGGAGCCTCTCCTGAATATCCTCCTCGCTGCTCGTGCCGTAGGATTTATTATCAAAACAAGTATTTTTTCACAACAATATCTTGGGAGAAAATAAAGGAAATCTTAGAGGGGGAGACGAAGAAGTAATCGATCGACTTCGCCCGGTCGCTGCTTCCGTGTAGTATGGGATACGGTGAGACTACATGGTCTGGGGTATTTGTCTAAAATCTGACAGTTTCGACCGAGCTGGGAGTTCACTGACTTCGACTGTTTGGTCGAGTATGCACTCCTTGACGTGGAAACCTTGAGAGAATTATGGCGGATTTAGAGTGATAGCGGCCAAGGACCAGGAAGACTGGATTCAGCTGAATTGGTCACTTATGGTGGTTATTATATATGCTCTGCATGAGCGAGTACAAGAGTAGTCAGCTGCATATGTGATCTCTATCCTCAACGACGTAGGACTTGAATGATCCTATTTATCTGGGCTCAAATTGGGGACGCTTTATGTAAGATAACACTCTAATATCATTTTTCGGTATTCTTTTTAGATCTGTTTTTAGGTGTTAATTTTCTTATTTGGTTTGTACTATAACTACTCCCGTAAAAAGATAGGTGATCATAGACTGTCAAAGTGCCACCAGGGATGGGAATAATATCACCAAGTAGTTGCCACCTACTTGCCGATATCCTGACCGAAGAGAATCAATTACCTCGGCAACCCGAACACCATTCGCTACTCAACCAAAATGCATTACAAACCAGACCTAAACATCACTGCTTTCTATGAAGAAAGAAACATAAGCGGGGTGCAAGTGTAATCTAAACTATTGGGAATATTGACCATATCGGATCTAACGCTTCCTAACACTAAACAACGTCATCTGAGACCAGTCGCATCAATGGCAAATCCCACTCCAACTCTACAACAAGCTGCCGTGGTACAAAACCCAGGAGAAAAAGCAACAATCACTCTTCAAAATAACATACCTGTCGCAAGTCCCGGACAAAACGAAGTTCTCATCAAATTAACCTGCACCGGTCTCTGGTAAGCGCTTCCATTCGAAGATAAATTCAACACCACAAACTAACTCAATACGCACGAAAAAGCCGCTCAGAACTCCGCGCAGTATTAGCCTGGGGCGCATACAACTCCATCATCGGCCACGAAGGAGTCGGAACAGTAGTGAAAGCCGGACCCGAAGTCTCGGAATCCCTCCTGGGCGAGCGCGTCGGCGTCAAATGGCTCTACAGCGCATGCAACGAATGCTCAGTTTGCAAACGAGGGTTCCCGCACAATTGTGCGCAGCAGCTCAATACAAGTCGTCATGTGCCTGGAACATTGCAGCAATATGTTATTGCCGATGCACGGTTCCTGACACGTATCCCTGAGGGTGTTGCTGATGAAGTTGCGGCGCCTTTATTGTGTGCTGGACTTACGATGGTTGGCGCTTTATCGAAACTAGATAAGGAGCTGCAGGCTGGTGATTTTGTTGTTATTTCAGGATCTGGTGGCGGGCTGGGTCATATTGGTGTGCAGATTGCGTCGAGGATGAAAGGTTTGCGGGTTATTGCTGTTGATAGTGGGGATGATAAGAGAGCGTTGAGTTTGGAGTCTGGGGCGGAAGTTTTCTTTGATTATAAGACTGAGGATGTTATTGCTCGAGTGCGTGAGCTTACTGGAGAGGGCGCGCAAGCGACAATCGTTGTGCCAGGTACAAAAGAAGCATTGAAGATGGCGCCTAACCTGGTGAGGAATATGGGTTTTGTTGTGAACGTTGGCTTGCCGCCGAATGACTTGGATATTCCCCTTTCGGCTACGCTTTGCACGGCGAGAGGTAAGATGAGGATGTGGTCTTGTGGTCAAAATCATATACTAACCCTCGGAATGATAGGTCTCACCTTTATAGGCTCGTCTGTGGGCACTGAAGCTCAATTGGCTGACTTGCTACAAGCGGCAGCCGTTGGTACGATATCACCGTCGATTGAAGTTTTTGATTTCTCGGCTGTGCCAACTTTGATCGAGAAATTGAGAGAGGATGGTATCACAGGAAGAGCAGTGGTCACATTACCACAGTAATTTGACATTCCCATACTACAATTTTAACTAAATACCATTGCTGAGATATGTGATGAAATAATAGTATGAGGTATAGAAAGTGACTTATTTGTAGGCGAATTAATTCTCGTAACTCAAATGAGGATAACCCATGGGCTGCTATTGCTGCCAGTGTCGACGGGGGACTCTCGAGGGCAACAGTGATACGTGTTGCGCGCGGTCACTATGCCGAAAAAAAGACTCAACGCAAGACTCTAAAAAGATATCAAAAATAAGTGAAGACAAATGTTTAACACCTACAATTAAGAAATCAAGAAATCCACTAGGAAGGCAGTTCGCAGAAACGACCCTGAAACTGCGGAATGAGAGAATGTCACCTTTTTGGCACTATTGCCTGGCTCGAATTTGAAAAAAGAAAGTCTTGTTCATATATATTTACTTGCGAAATTAATGCAGTCGGATGGAATATGGAACTACAACGAAGAAAACCTCTTCCGAGACACCTCAAGTCCCTGTGCAATGCTCTCCTCCAACGAAGTCCACCCTTCCCGCCCACAGAATTCCCGCAGGATCGTTTCCGCTTCCTTGGCGGGGATAACTTCACTTAGATCACGTCCATCGTCAGCAGGAGGTTCGGGAATCAGAGTATTATTAGGTTGCAGCTTTCGAACGACCGAGATTATATCAGTGAGATTCACTGGAGCAGCAAATCCAAAGAGTCGTTTAGAAACCGTCTTTGGGTCGAGGAGACCCGCTATGTGGAGACGGGCAATGTCGATAACATCGCAGAAGTATTCTGTTTTTATATGTTAATTGTGATCAACCATCAATCTATCAGCAGTGAATGTGCACTTACGCGGGACAAATGTCTCAAAAATACGCCTATCTCCCTTGGGTAGGCCAGCGACCCAGGCCGATGTCGAGCCGGAGATTTCTTCGTGTAGGATTTTCCCGGTCTATTCCGAGTCAATATTGTATGTTTTGAATGGCAGGCCATCGGACGATGAAACTCACGGTAAAATCAGGCAACACAGTATTGAATTGGAAGCCTGGCTTGTTTTTCTCCATCCATTTCCAGGCTGCTTTCTCTCCCTCGGTCTTGGAGGCAGCATAGACGAACATACCCTTCATATAATCTGGAGCATCTGGATTATATGCTTGTTTGATAGCCTCGTCATTCCAGGTATCTAAGTACAGTGTCAGCCAAGACATGTTTCTCTTCTTTTCTCTAGGGATTGGTCTCTCACCTTCTCGAACAACAATGCCCTCCTTATTCGTCGGTGGAAACAACGCCGCGACCGCAGAAGAGGTCATGACAACCCGTCGGATATCAGAATGTCTCGATGCAGCCTCGAGCACGTTGTGAGTAGCTCTCAATACCCACGGCACAACCTCTTCCGGATTCGGGCCGAAGGTGACATCTGATGCCTATACATCGCAACATCTCATTAGCACGGACTCTCATCCTCCCATCCCATTTCCACTAGCAAACACATACCACATGTGCCACCCCAGATACACCATCCATGACCCCAGCCAGAGCATCTACATCTTCAAAGTTAACCAGAACAACAGACTCATACGAGTCCCGCCCGAACTTATCTCGGAACATCTCATCAAGCCATGGTTTGGCCGAGCGGACAGTTCCGCGCACCCGGAACCCTAGTTCAAGCAAACTGTGAACAACATTACTCCCAATGAAGCCATTGGCACCGGTCACCAGGATCCGGGAGCCGCGAGGCAGATAGTAGGTTTGTGTAGCCATGGAGGATATATCGATGGGTGTTTCTGTTCACTCCGTGAGGAAAATAAAGGAGAACAACCATCGCGAGTAAGCGAGGCAGACTGTGGAGTCGAATAAAGTTCCCCTAATTCACCCTCGGACGTTGAACTGGGTTAGGGGGCGTTGGGTGGATTGGGTGACATACTGCCGGGTCTTGTTGGTTGGTTTGATTAGTTGGTGGACTAGGAGTTAGTCTACATTGAACAGGATATGGTGCCACTAGAGCGGGGATAGACGGGATGGGAATATTGCTGTTGACCCGGGAGCCGTTTTGGAGACCCGGTAGTTTGGGTCAACATGACGATCTGTGCGGAAACGAGGCGTTCGTCGTTCATTTGAAAAGTGGACTTGGTAGCCTTCATGGGTCGCATTTGTTGACTTATTCCAAATTAGAGTATTTGGTCATACACATAGAAGATCTTCCATAGATTCTACCTAAAAGGTCAAGATTGTACACGTTGGAAGTAAACACCCCGGGGGCGCATTGGCATTGTACTTTCACTCTGTTCTCATTGGTCAATACCCTGACGTCATAAGTGGGTACATAGCTGTCACTTTCTTCAGCTGTGGGAGTGACAAACATCTTTTGAAACATATTTCCCCATTATAGTCCAAGTCTTGCAACATCAAATTTGTTTCATAACATCGCATCACCATGTATACCCGCTCACAAACCAAAGACCAACCCTCCCAACCCCCAAACAAGCCGCCTACGCCCAATCCTCGAATCCGGTCACACACACGCCACAAGAGCAACGAGCAACCACCGAACCGGACCGACACTACGGGGACACAATCGGGACAATTAAACGGACAGCGGATTCAAAACCATCCAGCGATGAAGAACGCGATCGTCTGAGCGCACAATATCAACAACACGAACAAGAACTGCACAATGCACCCGACGTCGATCTAGAATACGGTGTAGAACAGCAGCCTGCAGAGGGGTATATTGCGGATACTGTCCAGCGTAAGGGCATGGGTATGCAGCGTGCGCAGGCTGGAGCGCATGCTGGTCCGGTTGGGAGTGCGGGCGGGCCTGGTCATCCTGGGTTTGGGGAAGCGGATGATCTGGCAGCGAATCTGGGGGCGAAGAGGGTTGAGCATGATCGGATTCTTGGTGATAGGGTGGGGAGGAGTCCGGCAGAGCCGGAGGGAGAGGTTGCTGAAAGGGAGGCTGCTAGACGACGGAAGTTGGAACAGGACGAGAAGTTGGATGTGAAGGGGGCGGTTAAACAGGCTACTGGTGATTCCGTGGTGGGTTAATAGGTAATGAAAGTGTCTCGGCGATAGAGTTGGATTTCAGTGTTGGAATAGGGTTGGAAGGAGCGTATTTTCCTTAGTCGAAAGACTTGGACGTAACTTTCATTAAGTATTTCGAGCTAGCTAAGCGCTGCTTGTATCAACATGGAAACCGGACTCGCTCTCGGTCAGACAAACTGGGTATGATTATTGAAACGGTAACGCCGAAAAATCCCAACATGGAACATAGAATGCGAAGAGGATGGGAGATCAGATATCGTCTCCGGCTGGCATGCCCATAGAGACCTTCTTTAGTTGCAGGTCCTTCTTCAGTTCCTGGATACGTCGGCCCATCTTGTTGCGCAGGATATGGTTTTGCACCTTCTCCCACTGTGCGGTTTCTGTGCGAATAAGAGCCTCCAGTTCGGCGACTTCCTCCCGCTGTTGCTGGAGCTGTTGTTGCTGCTCAATTTGATCGTCATCTAGCTCATCTTCCTCGTCCTCGTCGGATATGTTGCTTTCATCGGCAGAGGTGTCGCCGCGTTCGGTCTGTCCGCCAGCTGGAGTGAAAGGCTGCATTGACGGAGTATCCACCTGCTCCGGTCCTGGCCCTGGTGCTTCATCATCACCGGCAGCCAATGCGGCTTCCATCTCAGCAGCAAGAGCGTCCTCGAAGTCATCCATCATCTCTTCCTCCGCTTCGCCATATGCATCCTGCTCATCATCGTATTCATCTTCGTATTCTCCCGATTGCACCAAGCCCTCAACGCGATTCAGGGATGTGCTGTCCACCAACTCAAACTTGGGAGGGAAAATCGAAGTTTCGTCTTGGGCCATGAGTTCTTCCACAGCCTTTTCAACTTGTTCAATTGTACGTGTGCTAACACGATCGCGGAATCGGCGCTTGCGAACCCAGCGGAGGGGTGGTGCGATACCGTGTGCGTATTGAAGTGTCTTTTCATCGGGGGAGTCAACACCCGGGGGAAGTGGGTATTCCATAGCTTCTTGGTCGCTGTTGACACGTCCCAGCACCAGAAGCATTTGGCAGATATCTGCTGATTTGTACCAACCTCGTCGGTCCCAACTCTTCATGCCCTCGATGATGCAGGGTAGATCCACTAGAGCTGCCGCATATTGGCGACCCCGAACATTCAAGATGGAACGTCGGCCCTCACGTGTGAGAGCTTTGAGACCGACTTCACCAGTCTTGAAGGTCCTGTCGGTGATGGATTTCCTCACAATGTCGCAGTCTTCTCCTGGGAGCATTCGTAGGATGAATTGTTCTTCGATAGCGGGATCATTTTCGGTGTCCGAGGCTTCGGAATCATATCCAACGCCTACCGGTCGGTTGGGAACGATTCCCTTGTTTTTGATGCGGATTGACTGTAAGGCGGGTTTCTTGGATGGGAGGAGCTTTATTCTCTTGGGGGCTTGTAGACTTGTCTCGGGTTCGGGCTCTGGCTCGAGCTCAGGCAGCGCGACACTTTCGGCCGGTCGCTTCTTTGTTGATTTCTTCTTCTTTGGTTTCTCTTCACTCGGCTCGGGTTGTGGTTTCCGTGCAATCTTAAGGGTGATTTTGCGCGGGGGTTGAGTAGTTTCAGCCGCTGGGGGCGCAGGCACGGGTGCAGGTGCAGGTACTGGTACAGGCGCTGGTTCTGCTGCTGGCGGGGGGTCTGGCCTTCTTGAGAATTTAATCTTTAAAGGCATGGCAACAATATGAGAGCTATCTGCCCAGGTGAGAGGTAACAAGTGAGTGAAGACAAAAAAGAGGATGAACGACGGGGCCCGGGGAGGAAGTGAGGTTACATAATAGGCACTACCTAAGGTTGGAATCCCCGAGGCCGCCTGGGAGGAAATCAGCCAAAATGTACGGAGTACAACGGTACCTAGATAGGTAAATATGAGCTAAATGACGCTCTTATTCTGTCATTCTTTTGCCTTTTTCTTCGAGGAATAAAAACCTACATTTTTCTATGTGTACACATATACCGTACACTAGTCTAACTTGTTTACATCACCCGGCATCATGGCCTATGCAGACGTTCTTCCTTACACCACGCCAAAATATGAGTTCAACGGAATCCGGCATTTGCTCCAGATTCTGGAGAGGCCAGGGGAGGAAGATGAGCAATGTGAAGGCTATATGGAGTCATGTAACCCATATATTATTTTTACTATTGATGAGCGTTCCTTCCTCGATTGTTTGGTTGAATCAAGATCCCTCGGAAAATCTTGGGAGTGTTATGACCCTTCCATTAACGAGCTTCTCATCAAAATCATGGAGCCCGCACCTCATGCACTAGGAACTACTGCTTTCGCTGACATATTCCACGCATGGAGAGGGCCGTACAACCCAGTCTATCCGCTTGAACCCACAGGAACAATGATATTTCGAGGTAATTCAAACAAGAAGAAACGTGCCGATTGTTCATGGAGGCCGGAACATCCAGGGCTCGACATGAAATGGCCAACTATCGCAGTCGAGGTCGTATACACAGAGACACCGGGGAAGATGATGAAAGACGTGGGATTCTGGTTGAACGACTGTTCTGGACAGGTGAATATCGTGCTTACAGTAAAGATACATAGGCGCGGAAATATATCCATTCAACAATGGAAGATGGGCGCTGGCACTCCAGTCTCCGTTCAGAAACTGGAGATCTCAAAGAATCCCGCGCCAAAGTGTGAAAAGATCCAGGGGAGCATGCAACTCTCCTTTGAAGAGATCCACCTCAGGCCAAAAGGGCCAAATGACAGACTTTATTATTAGTCATCAGGATATCGAGACTCTCGCATGGCGAGTCTGGCGTCAACAAGACAGAGAGCATAACAAAAATCACCAATCTAGATAAGAGCTTGTCCGCCTCCCGCCTTAGATCCCGCTCTCTTCACACTTCCTTTGCGACCTCCACCTCTCTTCACATATTAATCGCCACTGCTTTCATCCCATCAATAAAATCGTGTGCTTTTTTTCCATTCTTTTTTCCATTTTCCATTTTTTGCTTGTCCTTACTTCTCTGCCATAATGTCGGGCCCAAACCTGCACAACGCTCTCCTCCGCCCTCCGATCATCCAAATCCTCCGTGCTCAAGGCTTCCATTCGACACGCCCTTCAGTCCTAGAATCTATTCAGGACCTAACAGGTCGGTATCTGATAATTCTCGCCTCATCTGCAGCTGAGCATGCCGCAAATTCACACCCATACGACCCAGTTCCGGATCTCGAAGACATCTACCAAGCTCTGCAGGATGCGGGGGCCATACGACCACAATTACGTGAATGGGAAGAGGAATGGCAGGGAGAAGAAGATATGCGTGGTCTCGATGCTTTCCTCGGCTGGATCACTGGCCCTGCCCACCGTGAAATTCGACGAGTGGCCGGTTTTTTGCCCAGCGAGGGTGACATGGTGGATCCTGACGCCGTTGAGAAGGAGGATTATTTGACCGCGTTGAAGAAAAAGCACAGCAAGACGGGTGAGGAGTCCCGATACGCTGGAACTGTCCTGGGAAAACATGCGGAGGAACACCCTGTCATCATTGAGGGTGGTGCCCCCAGCATCCAAGACTGGAGTGCACAGGTTCGTGCCCGGGCTCCAGAGGCAATGGATAGCGACAGTTCAGGTGTAAGCAGCGCACCGAGTCATCTCTCCGATGACGAAACGATGGGGGCGTGAAGGGCTCTACGCGGCCTCATGAATTGCTTGGCTTTTGAAAGAGTCGCAAAGCTTGAATCTCTACTTCACCAATGTGCCCAGACCTGAGTCGACATGTCACCCTTCCGGTTGTCCCTCCACTCGGACTGTCTTTCATCTCCACTCCCCTGTTCGAAACACAACCGATCCACCACCATCTACTGGGACGGTCAAACCCAGTCCTCACCAGTGGTCGCCGACATCGTTCCAACTTGAGTCGAACCATGATGATCGCCCCCACTTTACTGTTCAGAGGAGACAAACCTCTTTGAATAGCTCAACCACCAGAACCATACCCACATGCCCCACGATGTCTCATGGGATGGGTATGAAAGCCCGGTGTGGAGTTGCAAGCGGATTCAGTCTGTTTAGCAAGTGCGAATTGCTAGGATTTCATTTAATCGGGGATTAACATGGGATTTTCATTTCTCTTTGCATCTGAGTATTCCAATGGATATCTTATCCTGCGTGGGATTCTGATGTGGGTTTTTTCTGCCTATCCTTAGAGCTCACGAGAAACGCGTCATATGATTTACACATTTCCTAGTTGTGTCTAATAGCAGAAGATGCCCCAAAGAAATATCAAATATTCGGCCGCTTTTACGGCCTTGGCGTGTCTTTTTAGGAGTCTTTTTAGGAGTCTTTTTAGGAGTCTTTTTAGGAGTCTTTTTAGGAGTCTTTTTAGGAGTCTTTTTAGGAGTCTTTTTAGTAGTGCTTTCGGTAGTGCTTTCGGTGGTTGCTTTTTTAGTCTTTGTATCTGCTCGGGATTCTCGGGTTTCTAGGCAGATACAAGAAAGTCTTGACAATTGTAGACGAATTTACAATATATAACCTTCAACATAATATATACAAGAAGTGAAACAACGAATTATACATGACCGAAACATAGTACACAAATTCGAGCCGGTCAAGGAACTGGCTGGTAGCTTCCTTTACTACGCAATTCACTTTGCCTCCATCTCAACTTCGACTGCTCCAACGTCGTGAGCTCTGCATTGTATTGCCCATTGTCCAGGGCCTGTTGTAAACGGCCGCTCCGGCGTTGCTTCAAACAATAGAGTACAAATGCACCGATGAGAAGCGCACCGGCAACGGCGGCACCGCAGTACACACCGATATGAGCCCCCGTACCAAGATCATCCCATTTCTCGGATAGCGTCTTGGCTGGTGTCTTGTTGATTTGTGTTAAGGCGGTTGAGTTTCCACTGCGAATTAAAGTTAGTTCCCCCAAATCATTGAATCCTCGCTTCAAAATAAAACTCACCTGACCACTTCAATACTCTCACGGGTGCCCGTGGTTCCATTGTACTTGTACTCTTTTCCAGTATGGAAATCCTGAACGCGGACCTTCGATACAGTCATGGTGAACGGAACATCGGACCAGTCAACCAAACCACCACCCCACTCAAGATTGCCTTGCGACTGTCCCTTGACTCCAACCGGCCAATTGCTAATCTTGACCTGACACGGTGTTTGGGGATAGTTTTTTCCATACACAGTCAACGGCTCGGAATAGTTCACTGTTCGCACCAAGTCGCCATCAATCCACCATTCAAGACGATCTTTATCCCAGTACGAGGTGTAGTTGTGGAACTCGGTGTCTGCATTTGAAACGTAATGATATCCGCCCCGATCACTCGTGGTGGTGTTTCCCTTGCCGAAGAAATCGGATTGCACGCCGCTCGTGTTGTATCCAACCCACTCCCAGTCGATCTCGTCGAGGTCGTCGGATTGCAGGATAACACTGCTGATGACGCCGGCTCCCTTGGCCATCTTGACATGCGCTTCCATAACGCCGAAGAAAATGTAGAAGTTGGATGCGAGGAGAGTTGACGAGTTTTCGGTTTTCATGGAGAAGTCAGCGCCTTCGGATGTGTAGTCCAGAGTTCCGGTCTTCATGGTCCAAAGGTCAGTGTCGAGAGTCGAGTTGAAGAGCCATGTGTGCTCGGTTCCGAGGGCTGGATCCGCACTACATGTCGTGTTCTTGAGGGGGTTGCAATCCGTTCCGGTGTATTCAGCAGTGGCATTGGCGACCCCGACAATGGTGGTCAGGGGCAGAAGCAAGAACGAAAACCAGGATCTCATGATGTCGGAATTTTGTATCGACGCGGTATGCTCAGTTCGATTCTAGTACCCACACAACGCCGCTTTATATCGTAATTTCCGCAGCGGGAGTGTCACGATAGCTGGAGGGGATAGATGTGTAAAAAAAATCAACATCTAAGAAATTCATCCACGAAAGGAGATGAGGGGGTCCGTGGATGTGAGTTTAACTAGAAAAATCGCCATGATTGCTAGCAAAATCAAGATTAGGGAGGTCAATAAGCGAGATAGCTAAAGGCATCAACCATTCCTGTAATTAGAACCTTGCCCATACTTAGTCGAGCTTAGCGTCGAAAAGTGTCGCAGACGTGTCATCCAGTTGAGATTGAAGTTATGGAGACTAACGTTATCTCCGAGTCCGAAAAGGAAGCTTTTGGAAGCTTGACTCTGCACTATATACTAGTAAGCTCCTTAGCGCAAATTAAACGTCCTCATTGAGTTAGTCGCCTATTAAAGGCCCACTGGCAGCGTAATTATCTGGGCCTTTTCCCGATGCCGATTGGCCACGGTATTTTGTTACGCCCGCCAACATCCGCTCTCAGGAACAGATCAGGCACAATATCCGATCATTGGCTATGCTTGTCCAAAAGGAGAAGTTGAGGAAATTAAAAAGTGGAAAAGGGAAAAAAAAAGAAAAAGACGCAGTGGATTATTATCAAAAGCCACGAACCAGCCCTGGAGAGTATTTAACAAACCAGCTCGCTTCTTCGGCTTCTTTCATTCGTGACTTTCTCTTTTGCCAAGGATGCTTATATATGGCTGATCTCTGCCATTTTTTTTGTTGAAATGAAGGTAAAGGAATCTATATTGTACTTTGTCTGACAATATCTGTACAATATAGGCCCATCCGAGTGCCAATGGGGAACCAACTTAGATCGAGGCCAACTACTTTGACAAGCACTTCATTTCCCTGTTCCATCTGCAGTCGTGTCTATTGAAAGTATTCACTTGCTTTAGAACTAGCTCCAGGAAATGGCAGGCAAGTCATGTCCTTGCCAAAGTAGTTGGACTCGCTCTATATTGAGGCCCTGTTAGGCCGAGATAGAGACAGTCCCGCCAATCTTGTACAAGCCCAGTGATATTTTTTCTGCTTACTATCTTGCGTTTTAATAGTTATCTCTAACTACATACTACATATTTAGCCTGCAAAGCCAAACAAAAACGCTGAAGGAAGACATGAGCCCTTAGGCAGGAGCCCAGCATTTGTATCAGCTCTTACTACTTTCGGAAGTATTTCGCAGATATGAACAGCAGGCTGTCAGTCTTCCTGATCGGACGGTGTCATGCTTTGTTCTTTCCTTTTTCTCTCGCGAACTCTCATCTACTTGTTTTGTTTACCTATTGCTCGTCAATTTGTCACTCCTCATCTCGTCTCTCATATCGACGAGACGCGTCCGTTCCACTCTCCAACTGATCCATACCCACCATGCAGTGTCGGCTCTTTTTTGCAGCCCTGGCTGCTGCAGTTACCCTCACTTTTGCCCAGCAAGCACCGGACTGCAATGCCTTCGAGAAAACCTGCCCGTCTAACAAGGGCAACACCAATGGCCATATCAACTACGACTTGACGCAGCCTTTGGCTTTGAATGAATGGACAACACTTGGTGGGGCAGTGGTCACTGGGACTGATGGTGCGGAATTCACGATCCACAAACAAGGAGATGCCCCGACAATTGTGACTGACTACTACATCTTCTATGGTGAGGTATCTGTTGAAATGAAGGCTTCCCCTGGTACTGGTATTGTCAGTGCGGTTTACATGCTCTCCGATGCCAATGACGAGATTGACTGGGTGAGCTCTCCCTTCCATTGGGTCCCCCTGGGAAACAATCTGCTAATGACTATACAGGAAGCACTGGGTGGCTCTACCGACAAATTGCAGTCAAATTACTACGGCAAGGGTGATAACAGCGAGGATTACGATCGCTGGACCTGGGAGATGGTGACGACCCCACAGGAAGTATTCCATAAATACGCATGGATTTGGTCCAAGGAGAAACTGTCCTGGGCGATCGATGGCACCGTTGTCCGGACAGTCAACTATGCAGATGCCAAAGATGGCACTCGCTTCCCACAGACGCCGATGCGCGTGAGAATTGGTATCTGGGCAGGGGGTGATCCGAGTAGGATCAAGGCCACGATCGATTGGGCCGGTGGCAAGACCGACTATTCCAAGGCCCCCTTCACGATGTATGTCAAGTCGGTTGAGATTATCAACTACACTCCAGCCGAGAGCTATGTCTATTCCGATAAATCTGGCTCTTCAGACAGTATCGGGATTAATGGAGCCGTCTCCGCGGGCGAGGCTTCCACCTCGACCAGTTCCACTATTCCAACTACTAGCGATACTGCTTCGTTGGCTTCATCTTCTACCGTTTTATCTACTACGGCCTCATTCGCCACTTCGAGCCCAGCCAAGTCAGGAAATTCAACCACAGTTGACATTGCCATACCTCCCTCATCTGCTACGGATTTGTCGTCTTCACTCTCATCCTTGGGAGTTTCGGGTTCTTCTTCCAATTCTTTTAGTTCCGCCAGCTCCCCCTCATGACTTCGTCCGCTGAGCCGCAAAGCACTATGCTGGGTTCCAATTTGACTTCAGCGCGCTCCGTGACCACAGTTAGCTCAGCTTCCAACCCGGGTATTGGTGCTGTCACCTCGGCAACCAGTTCTTTCAACTCGGCTAATACCTCAGGTTCAGGCTATGTCGCCCTTCTGATAGTGGTCTTAATATTGAGATTTATCCGTATATGGATTTGGGTTATCTGTCTTTCCACCTAGTTCAAGGAATATCTGGGTCTAGGATATCAATCTCATATCCATGAATAGTTTGCAGTTACCAGGATCTGCTCGTGTCTCTATGAATCTCTGAATTCAACACCCACTGGGATTTCAAAAAGCGATATAGCAGCGTTGAATTTCTTACCACGTAGACTAAAGATACTACAACGGAATACTGCAGGGGAAGAACAAAGTACGCGACATATATCATTTATGGGAGTATTTACGAACATGCTTGATCTAGACGTGTCAGAAATACATGACAGTGAATTTTAATATGTGCTAATATATCCATATCCTATAGAAATCAATCTCCCGAACAACCTGGATCAAAGATACCAGTCGGTTGCCTGTGCAGCGACCAGTGTCTCCTTGAGGATACAAGCCGTAGTGTATTCAATCACATCCTCTCTCTCCCAGTCAAAGGTCCGGTTATTTATCTCATAACTAGTCCAGTCACTCTCAAGGACGATGATTGCCTCGGGTAAATAAAGTCTGAGTGTCATACAGAAACGTTGGAATTGCGCATACCCAAGAAGATGACTGCGAGGCTGGCGTTCATCGCAGGTTGCTTGGAATACCAGTTCGCGACAAAGGGCTTCCAGTTCCTCGATCACTTTGTGGCGTCGCCATGCTTTGTATGTAAGTGTTTCAATCTGTGTCTCCACAATCTGGACTATCTTTGTGTACTCTGCCTCAAGGGCCGGTCCAAACACGGGCATTCGGGACATTGCTGCGGATATGATGTTAGTAATGTAAACTTAAATGTATCCAGTTCCCTGGGGTTAATTTTCGGTCCAGGTTAGAGTGTATATTAGGAGATGAATCACCCAGTAGATCTAAATACAGAATTAGATGAAGAAGGATGTGCGAGCAAGAATACTTATCACTACCTAACTATGTATGCTTTCAAAGATTTATCTGGCTAGAAAGGGATATTCAAAGTGATTGAAGTTCTTTCGTTCGGAATTTCCTTTGTTTTTTTCGATATTTTCGTGGTTTCGGTCCTCAATGAACCACATTGCCTCGTTGTTGCTTTTGGCTGTGACAGATATCCGAAAATGGTGAGACAGAAGATCTAACCTCCGAGTGAAAGAGATGCGGGGCAGCAGGGGAGTTCAATAAAGGCTTACACTAAACAATTTAAGTTACAGAATGAAAACTACACTCCATTTTCGACTCACTTTGTACGAACATTAATTGTATGGTAGCATTGAACTTGGAAGAGAGACAGTATGTCTCTATTTTTGTGGCAATAGAAAACTGGATATACGTATCTCTCGTTCTTTTGCGACTTGGAGAAATAGTATGTGCAACGAACAAGCCGAAACCGACTACAGTTAAATATTTCCATCGGACATCATGGATGTTTATCGTTAATGGTACATTGGAGACTAATAACGGATTTCAGTCTGCTGAAAATGAAGCTAAGTTTCAAAGACCGTACAAGATCAGTTGCGAGATTATTCCACATTGCAAGGCGCGGATAAACATGGGTGCCATTCCCCTGATGGAGCTGAGCTAAATTGAAGACAAAGACATGAGGACTATGAGGAATTATCAGAATCGTCGGCTGCGTATACGGCTTTTCTAAGACTTCAATAATTCGATCCATCTATTTGGCCTGAGATAATATTAGGGACATTGAATGTAAGAACATACTGCCTTGTTTTGCTTGGTCTTTTCAGATGCCTTTCACATCATATTTTGAAATGGTGTTTTACAGGGTCTCTCTAGAGTATTTCTCTAGCGACATCACCGAATAAATCAACCGGGTCTCTCACTTTCATCTCAAAAGTAATCTGAAAGGAAGGCCAAGGTGATCCACGGGATTCTCTCATATGAAATGCGAGGGACTAAAAAAAGATCCTGAAGCTCGAGTTCTTTGACACACTATGCCCTAAATAACCGTTGAAATTTGGTTCTCTTTTACTTTGAACAGGGCAGTTTTGGCTTCGAGTTGAAGTTCTTTGTTGGGATTAACTACCCAGACACCCTTTCTACCTCGACCAAATGATCAGGGGACCCGGATTTCTCATTTTCTTTCATGTAAATCCAACTGTTCCCTCGACGGATTGCTTTGATTCGAATTATTGCGCTTTTGAACTTGGCCGGGGGCTTTTCTTCAATCTGGTATTCTTTGTTTGTGCATGGTAGTATGTATTTGGTCCCAAAATACAAATATCTCCCTCACCCGACGTAAAACATGTCTTGATTATCTCAGACTGTACTGAGATTCCACACCTCCCCCGTTTCATACCGTTTCTATCATCTCACTCCTCGAAAATGAATCGTCCTCGGCGAGCCGCTGCTGCAAAGCCACAGGGTCACTATGCTGCCACCACCTCTCCAGCAAAAAGGAGGAAGGCCAGTGACTCTGCCAGTGCTTCAGCACGGAAAAAAGGGAAACAGAAAGCTCAACCCCAGCCCCTGCTCGACGGAATCGGCTTGCCTATGCCTGGTCCTGTTCCCGCCGTCCCCATCCCCGTTATTACACCAGCACCTTTGGATCCGGCGGCACTTGCATTGGATTTGAACAAATCTTATGAAGGTAAAATTACACCACCAGTGCGGCCAAAGCGGCAACCGAGATGGCAGCAGCCGGCAGCGAATCCAATTATAAGAATCGAGAATACGCCAAACGGTTGGAATGACAAGGAACCCGATCTTGATCCTGAGTACGTCTTTTCCGCTCACTACACCTACATTTGGGGATACTAATATATACTATATAGTGATTTGGTTGCTCAGATTGCAAGGTGCCGTGAGCGGATCAGTGATAATATCATGACCAGGACGTTTCATCACAGATTGAGGGACTTGTTGCAAAAGCAGCAAAGTCGCGAGTGAGTATTTCTAGGATCCTTTTTCGTAACGCGGTTTAACTAAATTATTAGTGCAATGATGGCCTTGGAGCCGGCTGGATTGAGTTGGGCTGTCGTCCTGCGTTTGCAAACACTCCAGGGGTCTTTGACATGGCTCCAAAGCGAGAATGACAAGTACGAACTGGTTGCCAATGTGACAAACATCATGGCAGCGTACAGATCAGGTCAATTAAGATGGAATCCAGGTCTTGTTACCTACTGGTCTAGAGGCACACAGCTCTGCCATCCGAGACCATTCAGGTGGGATGAATTTAAGATCATCAATGCCCAATATGCCGGTCATACAGGCTTTTGGGTAGAAGGGGTATGTATCCTCCAACACTCGGGCTAGTCAGAAACTAACACGCATAGCTTCAAGGACCAGGACCAGGCGACCAAATGGCAGAATGGATAGCTACGCCAATGCCTGGATACGGACAGTTTGCTGCCTACGTGAGTTCAGATGCTAACAGGGATGTTTTTGTATCTAACATACTTTCAAGATGACCATCGCCGTACAACTTCCAGACTCGACTATTGTGCCTTCAGGTGCATTTAACCCTGTACAACCATCTCTGCCCAGTTTCCTTGACTTCATGGATGACACTGGGTCTTGTACCATGCAGATAAACAAAAGTGATATGGACGATCTCATAGTTGATAATCGTGACCCCCTAGGAAATGACCCCCCTCTTCCACCACTGTTAGGCTGCATGCCCATATTAGTCGCGAATGGCTCAGTTAGCAACTTAATCTGCAGGCAATTTGAGGTTAACATGTACGATAGCGTGGCCGTCGACTTCCTCTCTGTCTTGTGGCATCCAGTTCAAGTCCTCATTTATGATGACACCAACGTTCAAGCACATACTCGATTGAATGGTCCGTGGCCACGACACAGGATGTATTCAGCGTCGGCTCCGGATGGCTCAAGTTATTCCTACTTTGGTGACGTACACACAAGATTCTTGAATGTGCCCACCGTAGGTCCGGTTCAAATGACCTCCGCATTACCGGACAATGCATTGGATCCAGTGCCGGTAGCAGGAGGAAAAGCAGCAGCAGGAGCAGGTCCAGCAGCAGGAGGAGGAGGAGGAGGAGGAGGAGGAGCAGGAGGAAAAGCAGCCCCCTAATATGGAAAGTCTTTTGTTCAAGTGCAATGTGGCGAATCTCTTGCGTTCTACTATATCTGTCGTTTACGTTGGTTTTGTTGGATTGTTAATTTAAACTCTAGACTCGTTTATTTTCTTGGTGTATTTATTCTTTTGAAATTTCAAGGTTTCCATCTCAACATGTAAATCAGAACCGTTAAAGTACTTATTGCATAGGACAAGAATAGTTGATCGCTTATGCCTTAGCGTACTTTTTTTAGTAGTCTTGTTACAAGTTATATTAGATGTCCCTTTTTTGAGCATTCTCAAGCTTCATAGTCAGTATCTGATAGAGAAAAGTGCAAACAAATTCGCATTGTGCAACAGCCTTTCTTGTATATGATATTATGTGTTTATGATGGGGGATATATATCTGTTGTCCGAAGGGTCTTGGCAGTGACATCAGCTCTGATTACCTCCCTTCTCTAACTCCCACCAGTTCACCAGTTCACCATGGTCTACGCATTTATCCTCCCAACCACCTCGCCCCTCTCATTTCAATCATTCATATCCTCTACCACTCACCCATCCCTCCCCCAATCAGCCTCAACAGCCCGCCATGCTCTCCGCCTCGCACTGAAGGCCCACAAGCGCTTACCCCGCGGCCCGCGCCAAGATGCCCACCTACCCACAGTTCTGTCCGCCTTGAATGAATACATCCCCTTTTTATTCGCAATCTCAAATGGACTGAATGGTCGCTCTGTTCCAACCGATACATATCCTTCTGCCTTCCAAGATGGCTATACGTCAGGGGGAACGAATCTCCGAACCGGCGAAACAGTCGACATCACGATCCGCGCGGAGATAGAGTCGGCATGGAGACATACGTTGTCAACTTCAAGCGCATTGAATTTCGGGTCCGGTGGAAATAAGACAAGTGGAAACGGTATCCGCACGCGGAATGGACGAGTCTCCGGCCGGGGCATCCACTTCGAATTGGCGTTTACGCTCACAACTCTGGGGTATGTACTGAGTAGGATGGCGCGTGCAGGAGTCGTTGATGTGCTATACGCATCTTCTACCCCGTCTACGGAGGTCCGTACTGCTGCCGTGCAGACCGCAACGCGGTATCTACTGCAAGCTAGCTCGGTACACAATTTGCTCGCGTCCTCGACGACCTTCGCCGCAGCTACTGTGTCAACAGTACCAGATCTCGAGGCTGGTACGCAGTCAGCTCTGTCATCTCTGGCCATGGCGGAGGCTACGTTACTCGCTGTTCTTAAAGATGATGCGTATGTTGCGGCGTGTATCCAGTCGCGCAATCCAAATGATAAAGAGTGGATGGTCCATGCACCTTCGATTCCGAAAGTGCGCGCTCTACTATTCGCAAGACTCTGCGTTCGTGCTGCAGAGTATGCCGAACAAGCGGCTGCAGGTCTAGGTGCTGTTGGGTCTACTTCTGGTCGTGCAGGCCGCGTAGATGAGGATTTGGTCCGCTATACAGGAGTTTTGGCTCGCGTTGCTAGGGCACGCGCCTGTCGATTCTTTGGTGTAGATGCTGAGCTGTCAGGCAAAGTGGGTGAGGGTATTGCGTGGTTGCGAGCTGCGCGCACCCCGCTCGGACTACGTGGAGCAGGGTCTTCGCAGGAGGATGCTACTGGATCGGGAGGTTCTGCAAAGGGCGGCCTGTCCCGTTTAAAGCGCGAGTGGACAGAGCGGCGTGAGGATCGTCGAGTCACTAAAGATGCCGGCGGTAGCCGCAGCGAAAAAGGTCCATTGGATGCGGGGGATGATGCTGGTCGTAATGAGGAGGGACGAGTCCTCGCGATGCTTGAGACGAAATGGGTGAGAATGAATGACACAGTGAGTTTGAATTCTCCACGTCCTCCATGATCCAGGCGGGGCTCGATATGCATGGCTTACTGACTCAATACAGATGAACACACAGCCCATTCCACCCTCTGCACCATTGCTCTCTAACCTGCCTTCTGGTCGAGATATTCACTCTCCCCCGGCACCATACCAACCCCCTTCTTTGGATGAGGATCAACTCATGCGGATGCGTGCTCCACCAGATGAGAGAGATGATGTTCTGTTTGGAAGTGATGACGATAGTGAAGATGAGGCAGGACAACCTGATAGCCGTGGACCTCCCGGTTCATTCCCAGACCGCAGTGCGACAGCCTCGAGTGTTTATTATTGAATGATAACAACATATAAGCACATATGTAGAACATGAGATACGGTGATATATACTGAATGCAGCATTCAATCGCCTCAAAGGGCAAGCACAAGGGCCTGTTGAAGACACAAGGAAGTGTCGGTCACTACGATCTCTAACCGCACCGCCACATCGTATAAAAAAAGGAATAGTGATCAAACAAAGTGATATTATGTACAGTACAAACGGACAAGAGCGCAAAGAAGGGTAATCTCCAGACCCTCTTATGCCATCTTTTCGTCTCCCTCCGACAGACCCGATCTGGGTGTCTATAAGACCAAATTTGGACAGAACAGAATCAAAACCACGGGGATTCAGTCCAAAGCCGACCATTTCATCTCGACATCAAAATTGTCCATTCCCCGCGGTATCGATATCAACCATCAAACCCGAGCCTCGAAACGCAATCGCATAGCCGAACACGCAAGAAAAGACGTAAACGCTTATGCCGACTCTCCACCAAAGCGGTTCTTCTCCTGTCCGAGGTAACCCTTAATCTTGCTCTCCTTAAGGAGCTCGAAGTACTTCTCTGTAGGGAATATATAGGTTAGTACAATGCCTCGCAATCACAATCACAACCACTCCACATAGCCCTGAATCCGTTTAAATCAAGTTCTTTCGGAGAAAGGTCCCCGTAGAACCTCTACTTTCCTGGATATGCGGCGTAGACAGGAGAGAAAAATGAGAAAAACAACCCACCTCTGTAAACACCACACTTCTCGAGGTGGTTCACGCCCTCGCGCGCATAGCACTTGCCCAATTCCTCGCCAACCAAACGCGCCATCATGCTGCGGACCCATTGCTCGCGGATAATGGCATCGCGGGCGTTGTGGACTGCGACGTTGTCCTCGAAGTCGACGCCCTCGTAGGTCGGGGCGACGGTGGGCTTTTTGGCGAGGAAGGCGGCGGACTCGGCGGTTGGCATTGTGGGTGGTTGGTTTGTGTGGTTTGGTGTGTGGGTAGGGTGTTGTGAGGTGGTTTGCTTGCTCGGGCGGAGGACAATGGCAGCAAGGGTTGGTGGGAGGGACTCGGCTTTTGGAGGCTGCTTGATGCGGTCGTCTGGATCGTTGATCTTGAAGGTTGGATTACCTGCTTTGTGATTGGGTGGGATGAGGGCGGTCTGGACTGTTAGGTACGGGAGACAGAAGGTGCCTTTTGCGCAGATCGGTATGGTCACGTGGATATATATAGAAGCCGAAAACGGTAGCTCAGACAGGGAAGGTTGATCACTCGAGATTGTATTTTTATTTGATTTAGAGAGAGTCGAAACTTTTTTTTTTTTTGGAGAAGAAATCACTTGCAAAGATATCATATTTTCAATGACCATGGTTGTTCACACCATCTACCGTACGCCCCGATCAAGACAACGTGAAACCACTAAAGCAATATACATACAAAGCAAAACTTTCAACAGAAAACCTCTCATAATGCGAAGAATAATGACAACAATGTAAACTTGCCATAAAGAAGCATAATCAGTGTAAGGAGCACAAAACAACACGGATCAATCATCCTCATCCTTAACCTTTCCGGTCATTCGGTCGTATACATCAGTGACACCATCCCTGAATCGCTCCCAACGAGACCGACCGAGCCAATTGCTCAGCTCGCGGTAGTGGTAGATTTCAGACCAACAATCACGACCCCACATGCACCCAGCCATGTTGACGAGGAGATCGTGCGCGTTCTGTTGATAGTGAACCACTGGATTATCTCCGTCGCCGCATGCACCAGGTGGGAAAGCATTGATCCTGCGTTGTGGTAAAAAGCCAACACTACTCCGAACCCATGGTTGACTCTGATAAATGTACTCCAGGGCATCCTGTTCTTTATGTTCCCACTCCATGTGCATCTGCTCGTACATGACGGGATCCCACCAGATATCGAGCAGGCGGTCGGTCCAATCAGATCGGCGCAAGAAGAAAGATCCAAGATTGAATCCGGCGCAGTCTTGTGTCAGAAGCATATTCAACGAATCTGCCTTACCATCTCCATCCAGGGAACGACCTAGCTCGTCGAGCCAGAACTCGGGGAGTGGGTGGGTCATGTTGAGAGGGTTATAGGCGGTAATATCCCGGTAAACGTGGGATTGGAGGTCATTGAATAGATGGTGTTGGAGGGATGTGTCGTACTCCATAACCCATGTGTTCAAGTCGAGCCACCAGAACCACTCTGCATCTGGGTACTTGCGCATGGCTTCGCGGATCACATCGCCCTTCTCCCAGCTCTCGCGCCATTCATGTGAATATCGCTTCTTGGCCAGCAGATTAGCCAGTTCAACCTCGTAGCCCCAGTTTTGTGCATATCTCTGTTTGTTCCATATGCTGTTGCGTTCAATGGCCCATTCACGTGCGCCCTTCCATTCCATGACGCCGCCCTCCACATTCGATCCGAGTATGATGACAAACTTGCTCCCACCACCTATGGGTGATCGGCGGTATGTTTGGATTATGCCTGGAATGTTCTTAGAATAAGTGTCGAAAAACCAATCCTTATAGAAATGACTTACTCGTCCAGAAGAATAGATATCCAATCCACACCAACAACAGAGCCAACAGCACCCGGAACCGGCCCCGGCGTGCTGGTACCCGTAAGGTACCTAGCAGACCACAACCACTGCCTGAACGTTTCCATTCCCTGCCAAAATCATCCTTATCGACGTATTCCCGTGAGGAAAGCCTTCGAACGGTATGAAACCGAGTCGAGATCTTGTGTCGTTGGCGAGAGAAGAAGCCGCCATTGCGTGTCGTGAATGATGGATACCCGCGCACCTCGTCGCTTTTTGCCTTAGCTGCTGCCCACGAAATGCTGCCTGGGGTACCTGGGGGCATTGAACCGGGCGATGGACCGTTCGGTGATACAGTGCCGCTACCCGGAATAAGTCCCGGACTGGACCACCCCCCGCCCTGGCGGGGAGAGGGTGATCGCGATAAGGTCATCGCAGTGGTCGGCGCTAAACAGCGAATTACTAGAGAGTGATTGTTGTGAAATCTTGAGTATGCCGACTGGAGTGAAAGTGCGAAGGGATGAATTTCTCGTGAGGTCAGGGAGATGTAACGAGTGACGTGAAGTTAGGAAGAGAAAGAGGTAGTTAAGACACACCAAACATCATTAAACGTGTGTACATTATGTGCCGGATTCGAGATGCGAAGGAACTTGATGCCGAATGCGGTACGTCCGATCCCACGGTCTTGGGGTAGGTGCGATTTAAGTTTGGATCCCTTCCCTTGGATTTGGATCTCAAATTAGCCTCAATACTTTAAATCTTGGATTTTGTATCCTTGGCATCTCTGATAACTACATGTAAATACTGTGTATAGTTGATAATTGGAAGTTGAACATTAGTATAGTTTAGCTTAATTTAACGTATCAACTACCATCAAGCGTAGATCGATTGGCGGAGATCGGCTCCACTTCTCTACATCTACTCAACCGCTTGCGGACAAAGACCATTGTGGAGCATAGAAAGTATGTAACGATTAATTCCCACCGGACCCCGCAATTCCTATCAATCTATATCCAAAGCGGAAAGATGAATACCTCCAGATCTCAATCTATTCCCGATCCTTGTATTGGGGCCGAATCGGCATTCGGTTCGCCGCCCCGCCAGCCTTAGCCATCAGAGCCTGTCGCACCATGAACCCGGCTTCGTTTCCGGGCCGAGCCTGGGCGCTATCCCCATGGGTGAAGTCGCACTGGAGCTTGAGGAACTTTGTTCGGTCTTTGTTTTGGTACACAGTGATGATGTCGCCCGTGTAGAGCTTACCGAACTGTAAAGCCTCGGGACCATCCTCGGTCATAGAGCCACGGCGCAGCAGTGTATCGTTTACCCAGATGCCAGAACGCGCTTTGGTGGAGAGAATAGCCATCACACCTGGAATTTTAAGCCAGCTTTCACCGGTTGCGATCCTCGCCTCGATCCCTGGAGCCCAGAATGTGACCTCTAGGGCATAGGCGGGGATCCTTGTGTCCATGGGGTCGGCGTGCTTGATAGTTGCTAACGGGCCTCGACCCCATGAGGTGAGCCTATCCTCAAGGTAGATTGTCAAGTCGAATATCGAACCGGGGAGACTCTTCAGCTTTCCATATCTCTTTGGCGGTTTGGCGAACTCGGGATCTGATAGCGTGGAGGGAATAGGCGGGGTATTGGGTCGATGAACGATCGGTTCTGATGGGTCTGATTCCTCTGCGTTCATCCGCTCCAAGATAGCTTGGCCTGTCTGCGCATCAAGGGTAGTAGCAAACTCGGCGTCGTATTGTGATTTGGAGGGGAGAGACGGGTCGTTGGGAGCAGTGTTGCGGCGGCTGTTGTGGGCACTACTATCGCTAGATGCCTCGCTGGCTGTGTCTGGGATCGCAAGAGCAAGGTCAATCCGACGTGTGAACTTTGCTTTTGGAGTTGGTTCCTGAGGGCTAGAGATAGCTTGTTCCTTAGGACTCGAAGTTGGCGGCACAGAATCCCTGTTGAGTGTACTAGCTGGTGTCCCGTCCTTGATCTGCCCAGGAGTGGTCTGCCGCGAGGAGGATTTGTTAACCGGGCCACCCTTGAGTTGCAGAGCGGGGTTCAAGGAATTCATGTTGAGTTGCCCAACGAGCTTCTCTGCACCCATCAAACTGGGCGCAGTGCCACCGAAGGGAACGGCCGGGAGGGAAATAATCGACTCGTTGGGATCGTCGCTCATCATCGACTCACCGGAAGAGAGAAAGTCAACGTGAAAATTGTTTGCGTCGTATGCATCCATATTGCCGAGTGCGTGGGAGCTGCGCAGAGCTGAGGCAGAAACTTCGCCAAACAAACGTTTGGCATGATTGTCCACCACCGCTTGCCCATCTTGGAAGCTCTCAATATTGGGAAGACTGGGATAGCGAACATCGGTTGGAATGTACTCAATCCGAGGCCGTTTGGAGATTTCTTCACCGCTGCTACCTTCTTCACCGTCGGCTTCATGTACGTACCCCGGACCCTCAGCGATAGACAATTGTGAAGCGTCTAGCTCGTCTTCAGCATCCTCGCCAATGATTGAAAGCCGATCTCGATGGTCATATAGCAGGTCGCCATCATCCTCGTACTCATCCACATCAGCGACCTCCGCAATCCAAGGGTGCTGGAAACACTCCTTCTCTGTCGGACGAGAGAAAGGGTCCCGGTTGAGAAGCTGGGCGACAAAGTCAATACCAGATTCGGACACACCTGCCTTGCGCAAGGCATCGAAATCAGCATCACTTGTCATAATAGTGCGAAGCATTTGGACGCCTCGATCCTCTGCACGCCCTGTGTATGGTGGAACGCCAGACAGGATATGGAAAAGAACTGCCCCTAACGACCACATGTCAACGGATTGGCTGTAGGGAGATGTTTTGGGCGGTCTTTAAATATTAGCAGAGGCTTCCCAAGAGAAAAAGAAACTAGTGACTTACGGGTCTCCAACGCGGCGCCTCTTTCGGAGCTCGCCACGGCGGTATTGATCATAGTCCGGGTACACCTCCGGCGCACAGTAGAGAAGAGTTCCACAAAAAGTCTTTAAAAAGGTTTCCTGCTCCACCACTTTTGACAACCCAAAGTCGGATAACTTGATTCTGAGCGGGTCCAGTGAGGCGATCAGGATGTTGTCCGGTTTGATATCCCGATGGGTGATGCGGCGTTTATGCAAATAGTGAAGTGCTCGTAACGTTTGTCGCGCGATCGTTCTCACCATCTCCTCGGCAATTCTTCCCTGGGTCTGCAGGTACGTCGATAACTCGCCGCCTGGCACATACTCCATGATGATGTAGATCCACCGATCATGTTCGTGGTGATTGATGTATTGAACAATATTCGGCTGCAACAAGTTAGTTGTCTAGTTACAAGGCAAACTGAAAAACATTGCTTACATGTGTGAGATCTCTCATGATTTTCATCTCATTATCCACCTTTTGATCAAGGATACCGTTTTTCATGAAGCGGCGCTTGTCGAGTTCCTTTGCAGCATAGATGGCTCCATGTTGCTTCGTTGCAATCTTGTACACAGTAGCAAAGGCACCCTTTCCAATCTGTCCAGTCACGTTGTACTCGGCACCACCGGTCCAATGCATGCCATATGCGTTGGCAGATGACCACGCCAAGGCTGACGGGCCTGGGCCTTGCCGTTCTTTATGCGCCGGGGCATGAGCATGGACTCTTTCGAAATACCGAAACAAGTTCTGGTGATATTGGACAGCGAATCCTTCTCGCGACGGAATTCGAACCACAAAGCGGACCTCGTCGGAGGTTTGGGATCCGGTGATAACTTGAATGACGGATCCATTAGTGAGCATTCGACTATTCCCATCCTTCTGGGTTTTTCGTAGCCGGCAATTGTCCACAATGGTACCATTTGTCGACGTATCCTGGAGCATAAGAATGCCGTCCTCGGTCAGAAATATGCGAAAATGAGTGTTCGAAACTCGTTTAGCATCATCATCAACACTTAGAAGAATGTCACAGCGAGAGCGATTGCGACCGAAGGAGAAACCAAGTCCAAGGTTGTGAACCTTTGACGAGAGCCTCAATGCCAAATCTAATGCTGCTGTGTGAGAGGATTCGTGCTCTAGTATGTCCCTTTGGAGTATATGCTGAGCTGATATTCCTCCAGTAGCACCAACAGCATCATGGGCAGCATGCGAATTTGGATGGAGGATACAGATGATGTCGGCCAAGTCTGAATCTTGGATACCGGAGTTATTCATTCCCATTCGGCGAGGATCAGCACATGGCTGGGTGGATTCCTGAGTGGCTTCCATTATGACGATGAATGCAGGTGCAAATGAAGGTGCTAGAAGAATGAACAGAGAAATGAACTACAGGTACAGATCCGATGGGGTAGGGTATATGTGCTGCGTGATCAGCGAAGGGGATTTGCATAAAAGGTCATTAACGTCGTATACTGGAGATATAATAAGTCAGCAAGGTTGCGCCAACAAGTAAGGGCCAGGGAGAGTTTGTATATATACCTCGAGGGGAATAGGGACTGGGGCCGAGGAAGCGCACACCCGGGCAAAAGCTGGGCAAGATAATGATATGTATGCTTCAAGACCAATGACACATTCACCAGGGTTTGTGTCGCCTGATCACAGGATTGGTCTCAGATGTCTCGCTCGATGATTCTAAGGAGCGGAATAGGCAATGGGTGAGCGATAAGTGAACCGTTTGCCTTGCAGAGTGGGGTGTCCCTCCTCAACTCTCCTCAAAGACAGTATTGGCCAACAGTGATGACGACGCTGCCCATGGAATTAGAAGTGAGTCTATCCAGCCCTTGCCCGCAAGCCATAAGAATACAGAGCTTGATTCTGGTGTTGAAGATGTCTACCGGTGGAGGGATACCGGTCCGTCAGGATGCCGTTCAATGAGTGGCTACCCAATGATGTTTCCGTATTAACAATACTCGAATTAAGGAAGGGACTGTATGCTGTAATTTCGAGTGGGCCAGGAGGTATGTCTGTGAAATTCCGTTCCAACAAATTAGCAAACGTCTTGGAAGCTTGAAGAGGCCTTTGCTTAGTATCGACTCGAGATCGAGGGTGAACTCACACAGCTTGAAAGACTTCCTATCAACTGGTCCACGGCTAGTAAAATTGAGACAGTAGATAGATAAAAATGGGGACACCGGGACGGAAAGTCACACTCCTTGAAAGGTCGTCGTCCGAGGAACAAGACCAAGAACGAGCCGCAACAATCGTGACTCGGTACCTGAGGCAACGACGCGTTCCTAAGGCGCGTAAACTCCTTACTCATCAGGCATCAGGGGTGTTGATTGGTCAAGCGGGATACAGCGGGGCTAACCATGGAATCGTCTCGAGTTCGATCTATGAAAAAAAGAAAAATACATACACACATCTCTACATAGTAAAGCAAGGGATTCATATATGTACATCCACACGTATGCTGGATTCAGTTATTATTTTCTTCAACTACTTACTCCCG